AATGCAAAAACCATTTCCGATCGTTATCCGTTGCCCCACATTCACGATTTGACAGCTAACTTGAAAGGCACAACTGTCTTCTCAAAAATCGACTTGGTTAAAGCGTATAACTGAATTCCTATGGCCACTGACGGTATTACAAAACCGCTATTATAACGCCCTTTCGGACTCTATGAATTTTTGCGAATGCCTTTCGGTCTGAGAAACGCGGCACAGATTTTCCAAAGGTTCATAGATCATGTTTTTGGAGGTCTCAACTTCGTACATGCGTATGTTGATGACTGCCTAATAGCTCGTCCGGACAGAGACTCACATCTCCAGCATCTGGACCTTGTTTTCGACCGACTACAAAAACATGGCATTACTGTAAACATTCAGAAATGCCAAATCGGAACAGACTCCTCAGACTTTCTAGGACACACTCTTGATGCGCAAGGTATCCGACCTCTTAGAACAAAAGTGGCGGCCATTCTGGATTATCCAGAACGGACCACCATCAAGCAATCGCGCACGTTTAACGGTCTGGTAATTTTCTATAGACGGTTCATACCAAAATGCGCGTCCCTTATGAAACCTCTTACCGAACAACTACGTGGAAATGCAAAATCCATCAATCTGGATGACACCGCGCGAAAAGCGTTCTCCACAGTCGAGGAACGTATTGTTCAAGCAGCAATGCTTGCTCATCAGGACACTGAAGCACCCATTAGTATTGCAATAGACGCATCCAACTCAGCAATCAGAGGAGTCTCACAACAATGGGTTAACGACTCCTGGCAACCTTTGGAATTTTTCTCTAGACGGTTGCTAGACACTGAATCGAGGTACAGCACATTCGGTAGGGAACTCCCAGCTATGTATTGTGCTGTCCGGCATTTTCAACACTATATCGAAGGTCGCGAATTCACCCTTTTCATCGATCAAATGCCTATTACTTTCAATTTAAGCTCATCTTGATCTGGATTTGGTAGGACCTTTAACAGACTCAAATGGATATTCTTATCTTTTAACCTGTGTAGACCGTTTTATTCGATGGCCAGAAACAGTACCCATCAAAGACATTACTGCTGAAAAAGTGGCCCGCGCTTTCGTCGAACGATGGGTAGCAAACTTCGGCTGCCCAACAACAACAATCACTACAGATCGTGGACGTCAGTTTGAATCTGAACTTTTCCGTTGTCTGACCGCAAAATTAGGAATCACTCGTTTCCGAACGACGGCCTACCACCCACAAACGAACGGTTTGGTAGAACGTTTTCACCGACAACTAAAAGCGTCAATATCAGCCGCAAACATTTCTCAGTGGGCTGACGCTCTTCCACTCGTCTTACAATGTATTCGCAATGCGGTGAAAGCTGACATTGGATACACTGCGTCTCCACTCGTTTATGGTACGAACCTTCGACTTCCAGGAGAATTCGTGGATCCTTCATCCTCTTCGATGAACATCGATCTAATCGCCTGCGCGAACAGGCTTACAAACGCAATGCGTTCAGTTGAACCTGTTTCCACATTTGAACGATTATTGCACGTAAGTTACTAGTTGACACTTCATATCGTCTCGATTTTCTCTTGTACCATGTATAATTTAGAAAACCGAATTTAATATGCTCATCTTTTTTTAATTTCAAAAGGAAAATAAAACAAAAAAACCATATTATGAAAATCTCTTTTTTCACGCTATTAATTGAGCATCAGTTTATTTTCCATTTGTTTGCCCGCTTTGTGTTATTACGCGCGTACGAGTTTAGTTCGACATGCACTGACATATTTTTTTCTTTTCCATAACGGCTGGTAAAGACGATAAAAAGAACGGTGAAGTTTGCGAGAAACGGAAACCTTCATTGTACTTTTTCTTTTTTAACTATATTGTACATCATGCTCCCTTATAGTAAGGGAAGATGACCAACGACATACTCGTTTACCAACGACATACTCGTTGGGTTTAAACTTCTGGCTGGCAACGTATTAGGGTCATCATTACCCCACTAGGGGGGGAGTGATCTGTAGCGGTAAATAATTCCCCAAAATAAATAGCTCTGTAAGTTTTCGACATTGGATGCTGACCACATTGGTTTTAATGGACTCATCTAGCTGAAGGCGCTCGGTCATGCATCCGCACCAGATCACATGTGTGAACGCCGTGCTCAACATCTACTGCAATCGCTAGCCAGATTAGTTCAGACGACCCTCAATATATTGATGGCTTATCAAATATATCTTCGATCTCCTTGCTTCTGTCTTTTGATTTCACTTGGTGGGTACGCTTCATATTAGGTGCTACTGGTTAAAGCGTTGTCAAACTCGGAATAGCTGTGTCATCTTCATGATGCAGGCATTTGTTTGGGCGTTTTCATCTAGTATGTGTCCAGAGAAACTAATAAGGTCACCATCAATGTCAGGGATGTACAGAGCTACTTATTTCAGGGACTTATTCACTTTTACAAGACCGTTAGCAGAATAAATTTGAGGAAATGAGAAAATCATCAGACTATACAACTACGCAGAGAAGACATTTACAACAGTAAAGGACAGTTGCATTAAATCACCAATGCTCATACAACACGACACAAAAGTTCTCATCAGTACAAACATAGACGAAGCCAATTGAACAGTCAGAGGTATCTTCTAAGAATGGGTAAAATAGTCATAGCAATTCGCGATATTCCCCAATACGTTAGTAAGACGCTGATATGAAGTATATCATTTTCAGAAGGGGACTCAGGGCTATTTCTTGGGCTGTACATTACTTTCAAAATTCTGTGGAAGGCCGAGAATTCAACGTGTTTATCAACCTTGATCCTCTTTCATTTTCCTTCAACTCGTTTTCAAATAAGCGTTCTGCCCAAAAGTCTATAAAACTGAATCGGACGTCGTAGTTTACTTCAGATACACAACACATTTCTATGGCAAACGATGTAATGGAAGACGTCTTATTTTGTATAACTTCACTGAACAGTTTCCAGGGGATCAACATTCCTTAATTAAACCAGCCTTGAAATGAGGACACAGATGTTTAGCATGAGTTTTCATGGAGAGGCCTGAAGCTATGAAACAAGCAGATGGAAAAGGGTGAGGTAGCTTCATTATGTGACAGGTCTACAGGCAGAGATCGACCAATCATGCCGAAACACTATCGACATAAGGTTTCCGATTGAGTGCATAGAGTTTCTCATCTGGGAATTTGAGCAAACACCAAGCCCATAGCAAAATGATCTAGCTGGCCTGGCACGAACACAATATATCGAGAGTAGGCACGCTCACGCTGCCAGAAACCCTAGATGATTAGATAATATATTGCCTCAAGGTTTATATATACTGACTGACATTCAATCTATCTAATAATTATTGCCAGCGACTGAAATTTATATCACTGACACTAAAGCATGCTTACCGTTTGTTTTACGAACGTTTTCTGTTGATTATTGGCAATTAATTGCAGTCCTTTTGTTATTATTATCCGTATCAGGTTTATTTCTCACCTCAGAGACAAATTGGATTGGATTATTCAGTTTCTCTGAGTAGAAAAAGGTTCCTTGAGTAGTTGGAATATTCCAGATGGACGGGAATTTCGCAACCAACAGGTAATGTCGAAGTAACATCTTTCGATCCACACTTAACGTGGATTACCCCTCCGTCGTATCAAGGTACCATGGATGCTTTGAAGATCGTATAAAATAAAGGACGTTGTTAGAGAAATATATTAATTAAAGTAGGTACAAGCGAAAATGTTACCACCATAACATACGATTAACTGATGCGCGTTGGTTGTCCTTAACTTTGACAGGGAATGACGATCTGTTTGATATTCAGTGACCCAACTGCCAAATGATTTGTCTATGTCTCAGTTTTATTTGACTGGCCCTACAAGTTTCTCTTCTACTTCTTCTTGTATGTCTGTCATGTTAGCATAAGACAGTTATTGGCTGTCGTATTGTTTGTGACTTATTAGAGCTTGAGAGCGAGTGATTGGCAGAAAATCAATAGGTTGAATTTATCCATGTAAACTTAATGTATCGGGCACATTTACGAAATTAAGTTGCGTTTACTTGCAGCCAAATCAATAATACAGACACGTAAATTCCTGAGATCCTGCATTTAACACATGGTCAGTATTGTCTGATAAATGTTTGAGAATTTGTGTAATGCGATGCATTTCCCGACAAGTACTGTACGCCTGTTGTAACTGATTTTTTTCAAGCAGATCAAGTTTTTCTCCACAACTTCACAGTTATTATGTTGAGAAAAGCGTACGGTTGAAGAAGATAACGGCTCTTATTTTCATACAAATGAAGTTGCTAACGGTTTGGTTGGTATGTGATGCAAAAATGTATACACTAATACCAAACACTTTTGCTTTAGTGGTCAGGTATGAAATTTAGTCAAGACATTAGAATCTATCAAATATTCCATGTTAGCTACATTGTTAAATGAGCTGGAGAATAGAGTAGACATATTCTCACTGCAATTCGGAGACCTCAAGCACTCTACAATAAAACAAATTACATTGAAAGCGTCAAAATGTAGAATTAATCGTTATAACATGAAGTGTTTTTAGTTTACAAAAGTGACATGATATCATGAGAAAAATCTTCAACCATCTCTAGATATGGCAGTGAAGAATTTCGGAAAATCTATAGTGTAAATTTCAAACACTAGTGAATTCAATACTCACAACCGACAATTTTAGAAAATGGACGTATCTGCTTCTATCGCTCTTGTTCATGGTGGTGCTAATGAGTACATAATAGTTAATACGGAATCTGTGCCATCTAAATAGTATAACAGACATACAGTGAACCTACGGAACAAACGTGTAGTATATTATGGAAATTCCACTATTCTTGTCGTATTCTACCATGTTTGAACCCAGCTTAGGTTTTTCAGATACTTTGTGGAAACACGTCATTCATCCATTTGTTCGTATCACTCAGTGTTAAAGTTGTCATGGTTAGGTGATTCCAGCAAAGTTTTGAAAGAGTTAACAGGTCAAGAAAAAAATGGCAGCTTGTGTAGATGCATACAGTACTGTGAGAAGTGACGATGAGAAGAAACTAGTTAAACCTGATTCTAATAATGAAGATATACATATAAAGACATCTCTTTTTCATGGGCCTGGATGGTACGTACCATCTGAACGGCACTGGGTAAACTACGACGATTACTCTGCACTTCCAAGAATGACGAAAAGAGATGCTATAGATTTCCAGTCAGAAAGAGAATTCGTCAGCTTCTTGAAAAAGCGTGACATACCAAATTGTTAGTATAATTTGCTTTGTCAAGCCATACATATTAATGTATGTTTACTAATAATTAGATAAGAAGATCACTGCTTACTTTCCTTCTCATCCTCCTTCTATCAAGTCGCAATGTTTTCGTCAGATACCCTCCTTTCAAGCTAGAAGTGGGAGCCTTTATGAAACCAAGCCAAGTATTATTCGGGGAGGTGTAGATTATTATGAATACTACCAAGAGGTAATCACTTTCTAAAAGTTTATAGGCTTTGTGGTTGTAGCAAATTTTCGTTATTTAGCCTAATTCCATGGAATTATAACCTGCTACTTACAGGGGGTTTTGCAGTTTGCAAACGTTTGTGAGTAATAAAAGGTGGCTAAATTTGATGTAGCTGTGGAACATTCAGCTTCTTGTTCAGTGCCGCATCTCTTTTCTTTTTTTAAACTACAATTTAGACTTTGTGTTTCACTTTACATGTTTTTTTGGAATAATACTACACTGATGATCCGATTTCCGTATACATTACCTAGCTAACTTGTTGAAATCCACTATTCAGTCAGAATAATAGAGAACTATATATATAATAGGGCCATAATATTATAATTAAAAGTAGTTGAACTGGTGTTCCAACCAACGATTGTCAGAATAATTCAATTTAAGACAGATAAAACTAGATAAGCACAACTGTGCGTATTATACTTGGAATTTTTAATAAGATCTCAATCAAATACAAAGGAATCATCAGTAAGTACAAATACACATATTCAACAACAAAAACAAAAGCACCAACAGTTCTTTTCGAAATGATAATCTTTTTATAAACAAGCTGTACAGAGATTAATTCCTACAAAACATTTGATCCCCACTCGTTGATTGTCTTGGTTAGTAATAATGTATTTCATTAACAGTTTTACTCAGCAAAAACGCAACCACTATGATTAAAATCCTTTGAATTCCACACTCGATAGTAAGTAAATTTCAGTAAAATATTGCGATGAGACATTTTAACTCCCTGATAACTGAGTTCAACATTTAATTGAGTGCTTCTGAAATTTTCCGATGGTAAAGTTGATGTGCGATGTTTAGTAAGAAAACTGAAGATTTGAAACATTAAGACTAAAAATGATACTTTGCACGTCTTGTAGGTTTCAGTGCTCATGTGTTGTAACTTAAACAATAATATGTGGCCAGATATTATGTTAAAAGCACAATATTTAGTTTTAGTACTATGTCAAGCTCGCATTGGTTATTCTAGATTCCGGACAAGCTAATTAATTTATTCTTTTCGAATCACATTCTGACCTTTTCAATCATTTGCTTATAAAATTTCCTGCTTTTATGTGAGCGTATATGCGTTTATCGCTTACTCTATTCATCAGATGTTACTACCTTGTTTTTGTCAGGCTATAAATATTGAGTCAATACTCATTAAAATGAGTTTGAATGTTTTCCTTCGCCGATCTACCTCTCAGCTCTGTTTCGTTTGCTTTCTGTCAGGAACAACAAATGCTACAAATATGAGTATCAAAAACTGATTTTCGCACTTGTTTTATCTTATCTCGTTAAGTCAATTATTATACACGACGATGTAAAGCATATATATATTTCGTTGATATCATCCAATTGGAGTTAGATCAACAAAAAATATAATAAGGCTATATCATTCTCGTTTATCATAGAACTCAAATATATTTGTTACAAAAGCTCCATCTTTGTAAGTAACATTATACGTTCTTGCAAGTTTGATACAATTATGACCTTTTTTCAATAATCCTATATCTTTCTATATGTACAAAAAGCGTGAATGCTTCGTACATAGTAATGTTTAGAACCTGTAAAATTCAAAATGTTTGAATGGATTCAGAAGTTACGTCAAAATATTTCTGGCATTTTTTGAAGTCGTTAGCATAAAGTTAAAATATTATCATCATACCCTGATAATATGTACGTCTACAATTTAGAGTTTAAGGGGTTTTCTACATCCAACTCTACATAAGTATGGAGTTATTATTTTAATTCTTTTTGAGTTATATAACCGCCGCTACTTGGCTAACATATGTAATTTGGATATTCTTTAAAACATTTACTTGTCTTACAATAATCAGTAGTGATTCGCATTATTGTATAGCTCATCAAGTAGAAGTACCATTTCGCTTAAACACTCCTACACAAGCCTCGTGAAATATCAACAGGCCTAGGGAACATTTAAAATGCATGCGCCAGTGTCTAGAGTCATGAGAGTGAACGCGTTTATAAGTGATGTCTTAATCTGTTCCAAGCACGTTTGTAGAATTAAAGCCACTGGTATCTACCAAAAACCCTGTACTTTTGTACATCAGTATATGTAAAAGCCATGAAATGTTTGAAATTACATCTAATTTTCAGTACGGAATTTTCTACGAGTGCATAATACAAGTGTACAAAAGCGTCAATTTACCAAAAATTCAACAAACATTCCCATCAAGATATTTAAAAGTTAAGTTGAGCAATAAAATCTTTCTTTTCAAATAAATCTTCATCTCGGCTCTACTCTAATACATATGTATATATATATATTTATATATATATATCAACAGTTATGAATTCGACAATAAAAGCTTTTCTCGATTTAGCCATCCAGCTCAATGGAAGAAATGCGACTAAAAGCATTCATCCAAACTTTAAGTTCATCACCAATAATTTGTCTCAGGAATGTTTGTTTAATTTTGGCCTTGACTGCAAGTGCCAGATTGACTAACATAAAAGCAGTCTTAATAAATTTAAGAAAACTAATTTTTTACTTTTAGTTTACTGGTGTTATATATGACTTTTCAAAGCATCAAATTAAGTTTAAGATAAAAGGTCGTTTCAAATTTAGCTTCTGATTGGTAGTCTAATCAGTGGCAATTAACGACAGTTAATAGGTTCTCAGCAATCATGTTTAACCTTTGAATAGTGGATATGTTTCTTGTGGACTGCATCAAAAATCAATTTATAACCTCGATTGAGATGAATACCACTAAACGTGTTTCAAACATCTTAGGCATTTTGATTATGTTTTTTTGCAGTGAATAAGACTTGGTGGGGAAAACTGATTTATTGTTCAATGCACAACCACACAATAATCTAGTAAAATGCGAAAATCATACATTAAATACGTCATTTCCACATCTTCGAATTACTTTTTACAGAATTCATTGTTTCTTCATTTCTTTTGTTATCTTGACTGTTTTTACTTTCTTTCACTTTTTGTTTCATTTCAATCTTTTCAACCTTCCAATCTCAGACACTCCACTTTAATCGGTGTCACACTACTTATACTTTCAAACATAAGTACCACATACCACAGTTACAGTCTAATTGTTTACGTTAAATAGACTGTATGAAATATATTTATGTATATATATTTATATATGTATTTTTAAAATGCTATTTAATTACAGATACTTGATGAGATGAAGACACCTGATCGAAGAAAGTTGTTATCTCCAGATATTATTGGTTCCTCTTATATCAAACGTAGAATGTTATGAATAACATATTAATCATTTGAACCATCTTGTTCAAAAGAATTATGTTATAATTGTTACTTACAAACAATACATAGAATCAGATGACTTATCTGGATTTATTACTATTCAGTTGATTGTAAAGCCTTTAGTCTACACATAAATCAGTGACACAGCAAATGCAAATTGACGTATCAATGTCTACGTGGGGGCTTTATTTGCATAGAAAACATTATATCTATATCTATATATATATATATATATATATATATATATATATATATATATATATATATATATATATATATATATATATACTTTTTAACTTATGATCTGTGTGTTATGCAAAATATGCTAAATGTCGTTTTGTTTTCATTAAAGATATATGACAATGTACTTTCTAAAGATAAAACCTTATCTTTCAAATATTTTTTATATGCTTTGTATCACTCTTTAGCCTACTAAATTGTTCATAAAACTGAGTTTTATTTAAATCAGTTCAGGGCAATTTAGTTCAAACATATTTTCTCAATCCTAGTATGTGTAAACATATGATATTGGCTATAGTAGTAGCAAATTAGTTGTAGTAGCTGGTTACAGCAAGCTGTTTATAGATTATATCGTGAAATGGCATTACTCTTTGAGTATTGGGGAGAATTATGAGTAAGGATTTTTTACAAAATGATTCTCATGAATAAGTGAACCTTCAAAATGATATATTACGAAGAATAAACTCATTCAATTTTAATCTTTTAGTACATACCTGACTTTTTATTCTACTGATCAAATTTATATATAATCATTATGTAAGGTTTGTCTGTTTGATTTAAAGCTGTCTTAGTAGAGTAATTACAATGGAAGTGCTGAGGATGAATCTATATGGGGTTATAAATCAAAAGGTAAAACGTAGTATGTGATACTATATTTGTTTTTTTGAACATACAACTTAAATGACGCTATGAGTGACGGGAAATTAATCAATAGAACATTCTTCGTAGCGACTTTGAGGAGTGCTTTACAACTGACCAATGTTCAATAATAAACGTAAGGATAAATAACTTCATTTGACCAATTCTATATGTGTTTATCAATTTACCTCACTGAAAAAAGGTGAAAATGGCCCAATAATAAGTTCACTAATCAGACACCCTGTGAACACAGGTTATCCGATCAGAGAGGATTGTGAGTTCAAAATCATATGTACAAAGTAAGTAGGTGGCCAAGGGCAGCTATATTCCATCGTCTTAGCATTGCCGCAACACTAGTTATACATCTGCAAAAACCAGAATTGTGCCTAACAGAAACTGGCACATACTCTTCTACTACCATCGTTTACGAAAGATGAACTCCATAATTTTTTCTTCTTTCACGCCCATCTGTTTCTTTTTTATCTTCTCTAAAGACCTTTTACCCATCAACTAATTTGTTTCTGTTTGTATGCTCCTCCTCATTACAGTTCATTTCAATTTCAACATTTTATGTTATCTTACTGAACCTCCTCTCCACAATTATGATTCTTAACTATCTTAATGATGAATATTCATGCTCTCAACAACAAAATTATTTTTGGTTTTTTTTTGATAAAAGGAAATAAAGTATCTATGCCTTTGTTTATTCTACCTCATTGTTACCACGTCTAGCCGAATTCTGTTATCACCAATATTGTAATTTTTATCACTTTAGAACAATAAGTACTTATTCTCTATTATACAGTTTTTAAAATGCATTCACCGACAAGAGAACTCTTTTCTGAACCATTTTTTTCTCATGAATTAATTTAAATCTAAACTTTTAATTAAACTGTCGTTAACTGAATTATTTTCCCATCAGAAAACTTGATTTTCTATTCAATAAATAATAAGTGTAAATGTTAAACTATTAATGTAAAATACGAACTTCAAGACAATACAGAAGTGATAAATTCTCATTTCGTTTAAAAAAGAAAAGGATAAAATAAAACAAATTCCACTTCCATCAATAGTTAATTTACAGAGAGACAGTTGAAATTGAATTGAATTAATAGTAAAACAATTATGTACGATAATTTAAGAAAAATATGATGTACATTGCTTTAATAATAAGTCTATTAAATACATCAAAATAGCATAATTGATATAACCATTTCTGTCTAATTTGACAGCCAGATCAGGTGAAAACTCTATAAAAGTAAAAACAAAAACACATTTTGAATGAGTAGTATATCATAAACATATGTACTAAATATAATGCAATATCACAGTCGAATGATTAAAAGGCTACGTATTTCTTTTCTCTAGCCTACCAATTACTCAATTGTGGTCCTTTAATTTTTACTTTTAAACTGAGTGAATTAGGTTTGATCGAGTGTCGAAATGTAGATGAATACTGTTGAACAATTTTAACTAAAAAGGATACTTGGTCGCATTTCTCTAAAAGTTATCGGTGAGGGTAAATAACGTTATACTCCAATTTGTCACATCTTTCCGATTGAAGATTGGATCGGTGAAGTTTAGGTTAACTGTCTGGTATATGTGAATTTACTCTGATAATTTACGCAGATAAAATATTTTATAACATAGGACAATATTACGTTACTTCATATAGGCAAGTATTGAATTAACATAGAAAAAATATAACGTTGCGAACTATGTTACATATAAGCTACTTATAAAACGATTGTCAACGCCGTGGATTTGATATAGAGAACTTACACATTGCTATATAACTCAAAACTGCTGTCATGGGTTACTTGATCTAATCATCCCGAACTTTAATTAGCCTTAATTCTTCCAGGACCATCAAATTGTGACCTAGTTTTAATAATAGTCATTTAATAACCTTCGGGTACAGAATACTCGAAACATTTCGAGAATTTTTATCCTTAGGTAATGAGTTAATTTACAGAATAAAGTTTAGAATAAGTTGAAATAAAATATGAGGATAGGAAATCCATGATTGCGTAGAAAATCAATAGCTACTTCATCTTAATTGGCCATATTTCGACAAACCATATAAATTGCAGTATAAAGAGAGCTAAAATGAAATCGTGAAGACATAAATGTGTTGTTAAATGATGAATAAAAACCTGTTTAAAGATTATCAATCAGATCATCGATCCACAGAGCAAAATCAGTGGGGTCTTAAAACCTAGTTTAAAAACCTTTTAAAAATTATCGAGGTAAACTGATTTGTTAAACTTCTCCCTTTTATCGTATACGATAAATCTAAATAAAAATGTAAATTTACCAAAAGTAATATAAAACTGACCATATTCTTAATCGATATATTGAATAAACGAATGTCAGGTGAACCTTGAAAAAGTCGAGAAATCAACTAACTCTTTTCATAGACATTTATACTTATGTTTTTTTCAAACATCAGTTCAACAAGTTAACACTGTGTTCGTTACTAACGTTATTTTAGACACTTGCTTCTTACTTCAAATTAATTCAAATATACATCATCAAAAAATATATATAGTAATTTTACAATAAAACAATTAGTCAAATGTAAACTGTGGTTGAACAATCTGTAATCATAAAATAGATATCTCATAATTACTTTTAAGTATATTCAATAATGAAGAATTACTCTCTTTATTATTAATCTCCAAAAATTTATAATTTACACAATCTGAACAGTGAGATGTAAGTTTAAATAATTCCTCTTTTATTGTAATTGGTTCTATACCGGCAGCAAATAATCGATGTTGGTAGCTATAATAAATTCAGTACAAAGAAAAAAGAAAAAAAGGATCAGATTTATATGATATTTACATCTCTCCTTTTTTTATTACGTAACATAATTCTATTCATGATATTAGCTTTGAATGATGAGTAAAGTATCTAGTGATATTTTGACTATAATGGTGATCATCAACTTTGAGTTATCCTTACAAAACAAGAAGGAATAAGACGTGAAAATTTAAAAATAATCGGTTACTTCCATTATATACCTAAAACAATTTTATTAAGGATACAACATACTGAACAATTTGAACTAAAATGGGCGAGACTATAATTTATGGATGAACCAATCAGGTATAAGATAACAGGTTCCGAATTTTGGCGCAAAATTCACTTATTGTAGATGAGGTCAATTCGTGATGAAAACCCTAAATATAATTTCTAACCTTAACTGCCAATAGTTAATCATAATTCGAGTTCTTCACACAGGTTTATAACGCTGATTTGGTCCTAGTTATTAAGTGGACACTCTTAGGGTCAGTGTAGCGTCGCTCATAGGTCGTCCATAAATTATGGTTTCACCCTAATATCCCATTTTGTTAATTTTTGAATAAGTGAATAATTTGTTCAATGATAAAAATAAATATGTTATTTCAGTTGTTTTACTTAATTATTAAGCTCCTATAAAAAAACTTTAAAATCTACTATTCTATCTTTTGATGGTTTTTGATTTTGATTGTTACTCTGAAGAAGTTCAGACAAGTTAGCCGGACGAAACTTTGGAATTATTTAAATTTCAATCGCTGATATTATTTGAAATATAATTCTCACATATAATGACTTCTTTATACTCAGCCCCCAATTTCTGTCAAACTATGCGTTTTAATCTTGACGAATGTTCGTATAAATTCTATCTTTTATTTATAAAAATATTTCGAAAATTTTCGTAATCAAATATTTATTTGTAATTATTCATATGGCATTATTTAAAATTATTGCCAATATTTAGGCAATAATATTTAGTCCGAATAAGGTAGATAATTTCGTGAAGAGTACCTTTGTATGTTACATATTTTGTTTTAGGTTTGATTCCACGTGAAGAGAATGTTCATATTGTATAAAATCGCTTTCACCTAATAAAACGCACAAAACTGGCCAGAAAAGAAGTAGGGAAATAAAATATTAAGGACGATCAATTTAAAATAAGATGATTATTAATATTGATACTGATGCATATTAATAGGTACAGATTTCCAGGTTGAGATCAGTATTATGATCATATCCTGTAGTTGGAGATACCAAGTGATAAAATCGACCGAAATCTCACAGTTTTATTCATTCCCTATCTTCTTATAGAATTTGTTCACCATTCTACACATTTTATTCTTTAGTTTCATTGATTCGTTTCGAAACCATATCTTGTACGTCAATAATATTACTGTGACATATATATATATATATATATATATATATATATATATATATAGCTGAATAACGTAATGTCCATAAAACTAACATAACAGTACTGATGTATCAAAACAAATTCTGAGAAATCTCCAGAATCTACCCCTAAAAAATTCCATAATGAAGCAAAAAAGGAAGCAGATATAAAACTAATTTAGTTACCTTTTCACTATATACTGAATAGCTTCATATTCTAAACTGATATTATTGTTGAATGAGGATTCTTGAGAAAGATACCCTAACTTATGCATTACTGTAATCATACCGAGTACTGGATCATTGATTTCACGTAAATTACCCTGACTGATTGTTATTGTAGGTGAAATTTGTGCAGTAGTTGATATTTCTAAAAAAAGGTGATTTTTTAAAAGGAAAAAAAGTAGATTAATTAGTAATCCGATGATTTTGGGAAGTAGTTCACTAATATTTTGTGAATTATTTCTTGCAAAACTAAAATTAGACACTTAAGTAATAATTATTAGTGAAATTTGTAGTCAGTTATGGCGCTTCGTGTTATTAACTAAATTTTAATGAAATGGATAAAATTTTCATATAGATGACAAGAAGTTAACCTAATACCTATATAAGATCAGTGCTCGACCAACGCTATTCAAAGTTTACAATTATTTACGCTTTTCATGATTTCTTTTAATCAGGTTTATTTTAGTTGTTAAATATTTTGTATAAAGTTGTGTAATTTTGATGGATAAAGTGACATTTATTGTTGGTCAGTTGTCCTGAAGGGTCTTCTTTGAAATAATTTCATCTATGAGAGTAATCGTCTACCATTCCTACAATATTTATAACTCTGAGAATCGTTGAGAAGTGTATTACTATATAGTTATTCGAGCGACTACAACAGAATCTCAGAGTTCTCATATTAAAACAATGTAACAAGAATCTAAATTATCTTTAACTTCCAATATTAAAATAATATTGTGGAATAATTTAACATCATATTTTGGATAATGGTTTTAAGCATCGTCATATTGTATGGTTAGATGCTAAAACTTCACAAGGACAGGCCAAACACTTTAAGGTAATCCAAACATTCTTAACACAAGCATAATAAGCACAGATGGATGATGGCCAGCGGTGGAATCTAGGATGCGCATTTCGTCCTATTTAGGACTCATCAGCTGGATGTTTTCGCGTCTCAGAATTGATGTTCAACTTGGGACTCGAACCTAGTACCGTTCGTTTCAAACGCCATCGTGTTATCTACCGAGTTACTGAGTCCAGATAGCCACCAGCCTGCGCACTTGGATGACGTTTAACTTATTTTTGTATTGGTTGTTTGAGTATTCCCATTGACGTTATAATGCAATATCGAGAAAATTCGCGCAAATGCACATATACTAATAAAAGACTGATCAAGTGAATTCCTAAACATTAATGGAAGAATGCCAACACTCTGTAAAAAATGAATTCTCGACACAAATTTAAAACTTTCATCCAACTTAATAACTTATACAATCCAATATAGTTACTTGTTGAAATACCGTAACAAGTTAATGGTTTAATTGTAATTTAAAGGATAACAATCTATGTTTTTCCGCTTTGCACTATACAATATTTAACATCAATATCAGTTAATAAACAATAGCATATCGTAGAAATAATAAAGTCAATGAAATGACCGGCCAAAAAGCATTCAATGTATTTTTTCTGATAAATTACCTACTTAATACATGATTTGGCAGTATGTTTGTGAATTAAGAGGATTAAAAATGTTTCGTATTACTATTTGAAAATATCTTCATGGCTATTCATTTGTAATTACAGTTAACCTATTTAATCTTACAAGCTAAATAAAAAGTAAAGTTGATTGATTTAATACATAAGTAAAAACGTCGTTCATAACTATTATATTAGATAAACATTGCACAATTCAAGCCGAAACAATATCCAGTCTAGTAACGGTTAGCGAAAATCTAATTCCACTTTAATGTAAACGGCTAGTATAGTAGTTGCTTATCTAGACTGATTTGCCACTGTAATTCTAAAAGATTATTTTAACACATTGATAATGTATGTAATTAGATTACATATTTGTATGATACATACATTGAAGTGAGGATAATAAATGTCAGTAACATAATTGTGAAATATTATCAATATTATTATTTACAAGGTAAAAATTACAATTTATTGATTGTGAGAAAATTAATTCCCTTATTGTTAACTAAAAATGAAGTTTAAGCAAACGTTTAATTTATTTATCTGATGAACAACCTGCAATGCTCAAGTTTATCATGATGTCAATTATGCAATTACATCAAAGCTACTAGAGGTAAGTTTGAATACAAGACGTATCGATTATTCACGTCACAAAAATATACAACTTCATAAAATTGACGATAATATTTATAACTACCGTACTAAATGGAATATCACTATTAATAAAGTGACTTACTTCCTACATTGGAATCAGGTACTCCAACCTGTAATCAATAATAAAATTGATGTATAAAATACATTCATTAAGCATATTAAAAATATAACTTAAAATTCATATTATTTATTATATACTACATAAAACAATAGAAGTATATGTTAAACAAAAACTTTTAAATCATTCTAGTTACTTAACAGATATGAATAATTATAATATGATCTTCATAACTGATATTGTTTGATGATTGATAGTAGTACAGTAAAATATTTTAGATTTTTACCTAATACTCATTACTTATAAGCAGCATAAAGTTTGTAGAAATTAACACTTCCATTTACTACTGTCTATATATCGGTCCACCAGGGTGCTTGGTATCTGTGCGGTTGCGTCACAGGATTGAGCTGTACTATTCAGCTTGTAGCGCTAAAGCCTATACGGTGTCTGGTTCCCCTGTTAAACGTGGTTGAGCTATGCTGTTTGGGTTGTCACGTGAAGGTCTGGACGGTGTCTGGTTCTCCTAAAAACCAATGTAAAATTACCCTGGCCCACAAGGGTATATTATATATATATAACTGTCTATATATTAATTATTCATTTATAGTGATAACAATACTATCATTTATTGTTTCTAAAGTGAAAATAGCTATTGTTTTCGGCAATCATAGATATTTGACGAAGGTATGACAATGAAAAATTCCATCAAATAATCAATTATAGTTAACACAATAGAAATAAAGTTAAACAATTCAATATATTTATGCTCGTTTGGTAAACGGGAAAAAATGACCTCTTAAATAAGAAACGCACGCTGGACATTTTTATTTTTAAAATCTTAAGAATAAAATTAGTCATGTTACAATAGTAATTAACTTCATTTTCAAAGATAAATAGAAGCAAATTGTTACATTTTAACAGTTAAATTCATTAGAGAACTTATGATCTCTGAAACATTTTCTGGGAGTTAATTGCAAAGCTTAAAAAACGTTTCATCATATGGTTAAGAAACATTCCTTTTTAAAACTTTTCTTTATCCATGTTCAACAGTGTTATTTAGGATGAATATGAAAATGAAAAAAAACTATATTGATTTAAGGAAGGTTTTTTTTTCTCCAAATAACCACTTAGTTTTAATAAATATTGTCAATTATTACAGGTAATAATTATTATAAATTCACTTGGTTTTGTTCACTTGAATATTCCCATTAATGTTTAGGACTGCAAATGATCAATCTCTCATTAGCATATGTGCATACTCCGCGTATTGCTTTTATATTATTGCCTTAATTCACAAGCATTATAAGCAAAGATGAATAGTGGATAGCAGTGGAATCCAGGACGAGTATTTCGTCTTGACTGATCAATTGCAATTCTAAACATCAATAAGAAGATTCAAGTAAACAATACCAAGTGAATTTGAACTTAACCCCATTGCACAAGCAAGTGGATATCTGAACTCTGTAGCTAAGTGGGTGATGCGATGAAATTTGAAGTGAACGATATTGGGTTCGAGTCCTAAAGTGAACATCAACTCTGAGATACAGGTACATCCAGATGACGAGTCCCAACTAAAGCGAAACAAGCGTCCTGGATTTCACTGCTAGCCGCTACCCATCTTTGCTTGTAATAGTTATTATACTTTGGATATCATAATATTCAAATATGTTTACCAGTAAACACATATTCAGTCAACAATAAGTAAGTATACTGATACCATATCATAAAATAACAAAATGTTATATTTATTAATAAAAAAAACATTCTTCCTCTTTAATCTATCCAATGCTCAATTTATTTGAAATTACCTAATCAAACCCTAGTGATAACACTTAGAAATATGTATATATTCTGAATCAAATTGAAAAGTTCTCTTTCCAAGTAATTTTAAAAACCCACTTATTCAAATTCAAAGCTGAAAGACATTAAATAATATACACTTTTAAGAATAAGCCCTGCTACAAAGCATCTATATCTCAATTTTTCTCTTGGTTAGGCTGTGGATATACATTGTTAGGAAGTCCAATACCAGAAGGAAACATGTATGCAGTATTCTGTGGTTTGTAAATAGTTGTTTAGTTACAGTTATTCTATGACTTTGGTCATGAATATTCAATTTGTTAAAAATGATAGTTTCATTTGCATAGTTATAATAACTCACACAGAACAATAATAAAAAAGAGGGATAGTGAACTGGTGTGAACCCTCGTGGAGGAGAATAGGCTTCTCACCAATATTCTATATCGAACCCAATATCTAGTTCATACTAGTAAGTGATAGCTTATAAAAACTCCTCAATGATATCTTTATAGCTCGGTAGATGAGTTGTCTGGTTTACAACATTAATTGGTAAGTAACAGGCTGATACATTAACACAAAACAACGATAAAGCATGATAGTAACATGTAAAAAGTAAAATTTATAAACAGTGCGAAATGCGTTAGATGTGCAAAGAGATGTGTTAATAACTATGAAATTTGTCAACGATGAAAATTGTTATGATCTGGAAACTAAATTTGCATATTTTACGCCAAATTATCGAATAGTATAGTATAAACAGAATTCCCTGTCCAAGAGTATATATATATATATATATATATATATATATATATATATATATATATATAAGTGGAGAGAGAGAGAGGATTAAGTGTTGCATTCTTTATTTTCTCATGTAAATAATTATTTGATTACATAATACATGCTTAAAAGACTACTTGAACTTCTTACATTATTAATATATGTACTAAGTTTCTCATAAACTTGTTCATCCTTAGAGTGTTTAAAAGGACAACACAAATCACATATAATGGTATTTTGAAACTCTTTTAATTTTCCTTTAATTTTTGCACATTTTGATTGTGTAGCATCTAATTGGGACAGAATATCACTGGTCAAATAAGTAGCCACACCTAAAATAAACAAAGAAGTAAACACACAAATTGTATTTGCACTAATAATTTAATGTTCTTTTTAAATTAAAAACAGAGTTCCCTATATCTATACATGAAAATTAAAGTTGATAGTCTGTACTAAACAAAAATTTAGGTTTAAATACAACAGGCTATTCCAACAAGATGTTTTCAATACAATGAACACAACTCCAACCGTTCTTTTGCGAACCGAATGAACAAAATTATTTGTTATAGGGACTGAAGGTAATTTAGTAACTGTTTGATTTAACTATTGTTTAATTACTATCGTGGTTGTGGCTGCGTACTGCTGAGGATTTTAATGCTAGGTAAATACGTGATATTGATTACCTTTACTTATTTTAAGATATTAAGAAAATAACCCTGATTTTATGAAACAAGTGTCGTATTTTTTTCAGTACGTGGAATGTAATACAAATCGTTTGCAAGCCAAGTCAAATCATGAAATTGACAGGAAGACGTTATCAACCTCAAGATGAAAAGAACATACCACTTAATTATCTCTTTACGTATCACAAAAACGTTGAAACACAAAACAGCTGTGATAATTTTTACATCGCATCCTTAGCACCAATTCCGAACAATGGCTGAAACTCCCTTCGGGAGCCTATTATTAATAATTTTAATATCATTATTATTATTATCATTATCAGTACAGGACTGTGTAGATTGCTGAGTGTCATTGAAATTATGAACCGACTAGTGTGGATTGGTTGAAGTTAGACATTAGCAACACTGGATGCCGGCTCAGTGGTCTAGAGGTTAAGCGTTCACACGCAAGATCGGAAGTCCTGAATTCGATCCTTATGTGTGGAGAGGAGTCTCATACTGGGACAAAACGAGCGTTCAGTGCTTCCAGGTTTTCAATAGTGGCCTAACATTTCTCGGTTCATGATTCCAATCATTGTTACTATTACGGCAGCAATGTTTAATACTAGTTAGTGATTTGTATGACAAGATCAATTTTGAATTCTAATTAAAACTCATACCATATCGGAAATATTCCAATTCTTATTAATAGTCCCATCAACTCTGTCATAATCGATGACCAAAATAAAATCTACATTGTTCTCAAGAAGCTTTAATCGTATCAAAGGTGTTGATTTATTTTAGAAGAGTTCAAACTTTTACAATATACTGCAATTTTAAAATAAGAAGAATTTGAATTATTTGAGTACAGTGAATTGTATTTATATACAATAAACAGATGTATAAAATGCTCGCTTATTTTGTAGTTTACCTGTTATATCAGGTCTCTGGGTTGGATCAGGTTTTAGACAAACTTCAATTATTTGATCAACAAGATTAGAATATTGATTTGGACATTTAATTTTAACTGACTGATATTCACCTTTTACAATACGTGATGCAGTACTAAGAATGCATTCACCTTGAAATGGTGAAGTGAATGTACACATTTGATATAGAATACAACCAAGTGCCCATATATCTGCACCTTCACCATACGGAAGACATTGTATCATTTCTGGACTACAGATGAGTTTCATTTTAAAAATATATACAATAGGTATTGTTAGATTAAATATACAATTATCATAAAATTATGCACAATTCTCAAATGATAAGATAGAAATTGAAACTGGTGAAATGATTCCTCATTATCATTTACACTAACCGTTGACTGAAGCGAAAGAAAAAGACTAGGTTTCTTGACTATTATTCGGAGCTGTGCGAGATAAATTCTACATCAACCAACAATTCAATAATAAATCTGATAGCCTTAATCCAAAACAAAGGGTTTTAGTAGAGACAAACAGAATAGATTACTGAGTGAAGATGATTGTGTAGAGAAGAAATCAAAGTTTGCACTTTAATATTAAACCGAAATAGTAGGTCAGTCAGGGCACAATATTCCTCTACATTTATCGATTTCTGCGTATATATGCATACATGTTCATTGAGATTCGTGATAGTGATCTGCGGTTAAACATCCAATAAAATTATATTTACAGATGAAAAACATAGATCTTCATTTACTACAATAAAATACATTCTAAATTAAAGCAACCTACATAGTAAATGTAAACGTAATTAAGAGTAGATATTGAAGTTTTCCTAAGCCTGACGATAAAATATTGGGATGTGTTATATTTTTGGAAAACAGGCAAATATAACGGAGGGGATTTTGATACGATAATCTGAAAGGATTTGTGATGATAATATCCGGATCCATAACTAATATGATTACTGCCTACATCCGAGAGTCGTATTCCTAAATGAGCTATGGACTATCGGAAGGCGAAGCCCAGACTATAACTGAGAAGAATTTATAATTAGGAAAAATATCATAGTTTGTATAAATTTTTAACAAATATAAAATTCGAATGATGCGAGGCGGGATAGTGGATGCGCACTGTTGGGAGTCCCACAATAAGACGAAACGGCCATCCAGTGCTTCCAGGTTTTCCATAGTGATCTAGGTTTAATTGACTCATGATCCCAACTATTAAAATTACTATAATATCCACAAACCCCCGTTCTGATAAAAAAAGAATCGAATTTTTTTAAAAACTATTTTTACAACAGTATGAATTTGTCCAATACAGTTGTTTTGACAACTACAAGAGCATAAATCAATGTCTGGAATAGGGATTTTAGATTTTAATAATGTATAACGTAAATTGTTGATTTGTACATCAGCCGTATCCTATATTACACAGTTTAATTGAATGACATTTAAACAACCAATTTGATGCTTTTCTTCAGAAAGAATAGTGTTAAATATGTTACTTATGCTTCGTATTTTCATATATTTTTGGTCAAAAATACATGTTACATTAATAAACTTTACAAGTTGAACAAACATTTTTGTTTTCAATGTACTCTGTTAAAATTTATTTTGAAAAGATTGAATGAAGTAGGTTTTTTCTAGCTTTCATATTACATGAAGTCAATCACTATAATAAATAGATGCTAGAATTACTGAAAAGTAAAAACTAAAATTATTAGTAAGATGTTTCATAATAGTTTGGGGCTCAGTTAATATTAGTTCTCTGTTAGAATTACATTTATACAAACTAAATATCTAGAAAAATTTGGTGGTTATACCAATTGTACATTCTCTCCTATAATTTGATGCGACTGCAGAATAATAAATAAGAATTTTCGTCTAGATTTGAACGAATAGTTTCACAGTATTTGGGTGCCGAGTTAATATGAGACATTAAACAGGAAGAATGTATTTGTAAAATCTCAGCAATTTGGTCCAAGCTTTTTCAAGAAAATATATTTGCCGGGCGAAATGTTAGATTTACTTCAAATTCTTTCGCTGAGATTTTACAAATACATTCTTCCTCTTTAAATATCTTTAATGTTTAGTTTTTAATTAGTGTATGACATGATACTGAAGGTGGTTAATTTAATCCAAACCTTATTCTTGCTAAACCAATTGTCTAATTAACATAGCACTTTAATTTTATTCCAGATTTTGTGTAGAACTAATTCATTTTGGTTTAAACATATGAAGCATTATAACTATCATTTAATTAAATTCAGTTTGTTACCGAAAACTATTTAAAAATATACTCGAAATAGAACAAAACTACATATTCATTAAATAACGACTGTAACCGTGATTCTCCTTATGTGAACAGTAAAGATACTAATTCATAAGGAGTACTACAAAATAAGATGTAATTTATAATACAATATGTAATAAGTATCAAAATAAATAATACCAAGCATAAAATAATGTACCAACAGTTGATTTTGTTTCATTTGAATTGAATGTTTTGTGATATGCTAAACCGAAATCCGTTATAGTAACCTGAAATACATAAACATAATTATTGATAAATATTATAATTCATTATTATAGTTTTTAGTTAGTAAATTTAATGAGAATTTTTTTCAAAAGAAAAATTTCGATAGAACAATGAGAAGACGGAGTTGATCTGAAAAATGTGATGTATTTGCGCTATACATTTCGAACAATCTGGTCACACATACTTGTCAGGGCATTTTTATATAAAAATTTTAATCAAGGTCAATTACATGAAAGTTAAAGTACAAACAAAATTTATACGAATATTCGTCAAGATTAGAACGAATAGTTTGACAGATATTGGGCGCCGAGTATAAAGAAGTCATCATAAATTATATTTGAAATAATCTCAGCGATTGAAATTTTTTTTTAAAAAAATTAAGTGTATTAATTCAAAAGTATAAATTATTTAAATAAAGCCAGAACAAACATGAATGCAGAATAATATGAATCTATTGTTGTTATATCCTAGCAAGGATTAAATTATGAGTAACTTCTGAGACCTATTGATGGATTAATATTATCTACATATTCTTATGGTATAACTATTCAGTAACAAGATTGTATATATCTATATTCCTCTTATCATAAGCTTCATTTTGACCTGTAGATTATTATTATATTATTTAATGTTCTTATATTATACTCAGTTTATTAATTACTGTCTCCCACGTTCACAGCCACTTTTTGGCTTTATTGAGTACAAGTGTTATTTCCTATTTTATGGTGCGTTGCGGTCTGTTTGGTTGATATATGAACCCAGTATGTCTGGAATAAATGATTCGCATATTGGAGGCTGTTGTTAGAATTCTGGACTCAGCTGGACGGGCTAGGCCAGCAAGGGACCAATAGGCTGATCAGACCGGACGAACATCATTGGTTTAGAACAGTACAAGAGCGAACAAGTCGTATTTTGATTGGCAGGTAGATTACGTGATAACTTGAGAGCCATAAAGTCACAACAATCATATTTTAAAGAGAGCAAGAACAACGAATGGTGCAGAATAATATGAATTCATTTTATTTCGTTAGGTTCTCATCAGCTGCCTACAACCTAAAATATTTGGAAATCAACGTTATTACAGATATTGACATATTTATACATAAGAGGGTGATGAAGGATGAATATATGTATCATGATGTAGCAAAGATTCCGTTAGAGTTAATGAAGTCATAAAATTTTTGTTTCGAATAAATAAAGTTTGGGAGGGAAGGTTCCAGAAATATATATATATATATATATATATATATATATATATATATATATATATATAGTTCATTTCGTGTCGGAGTAAAAAAGCAAAGGATGGGTAATGCATTAATTAGATGAGGTTATATTATATTATTATTATTATTGTTATAAGCTTTATTCAACATTATATTTTTGATACAATATAGAATTCTCAGCATAAAGTATTTCAACATGTTTCCTTTTCTTATATCTTGATCGATCCTGACGATAAATAATGAGTGGTGGCCAGTTGGATGTTAGGAGTTCGTTAATCGACATCTGAATAATGTTCATTCGTTTCAATGCATATTGCAAGCCACCATGATGTCGCTGGTTGTACCTTTTTGTAATCCGTACAGCGAAACGTTGTAAACTTTTCATAAACGCGCCTGAATAGGTTGTGAGCTCAATAGATATAATAAATATAATAATAACAAACAAGAAAACAGATAACTTGACGAAATATCTAGATGGGAGGAACAGGTAGCCCAGATATTCAAGCAGGCCGCCGGGTTACATAAAATCCCCAGAATTAAAAAAAACTGATAAGATGGGTTACGTAACAACTGTTCAAGATTTGAAGAGTTCATATAAACTGAGAGAACTAAGTAAAAAGAAAAGTATGAATGAAAGGGTGGTTTTAATCTACATAATTAAGAATTCGATAAGGGAAGACCACATAACAAAATAAAGGTAATCACAAAAAAATGATTTACGAGAGTAGTAATAGGTTTATAACTGTTTCTCTTTTTATACAAATCAGGTTCGAGTTTTTTTATCGCTATTGACTCAATAAATTGATACTTAGATATTATTAATTTATAATAAACAGAACATAAAAAATTGTACAGTAAAGCCACTGACAATTCTACTGATTCGTGATCTCGATAACATTCGATAATCTCCAAGATCCCCCATAGTACTTATTTTAAAGTTTTTTTCCATGGGAATATAAACAACCAGCCTATCATCAGTAAAGTTAGTCGATCATTTATTAACACCGTAGGACATGGTACAAATGTGTATCGCTTCAAGTTTTAACGCACCACATTAGTACATCAAAAAGCAAGTAACAGGATAAAAACATATAAAGTAAAATGACACCATTATTCGTAGTAAGAAACTTAACATGAGAAACATAGATCAACAGAAAGGGCAAACGAATTTAAGAAGTCAGAGGCAATGTTAAAACTTGAGATTGGATAGAATATGTAAAATGGATGTATTTCCCTTCTTCGCATTACGATGGATCACAAGCGAGATTAACTATCCTCTCAAAACACCAACTATGATTATTTCGAGAACCTTAACCAGGAAATCTACATTTGGTATAACTATTTTAAAAATGTAAATGTGCAAAATTCCCCTTAAGACTATTCCAAGCTAACTTAAAATCGATGTTTTATTAGATTGTGTATTAAACGGACAGAATGACACATAGTGGTTACAGAGAAAACTTAAAAAATCTTTAGTTAAGTGAGAAAAAATCTAAAATTTTGTATACACTGGAGATATTTTTCATCACGAACAGAAGGATCATGCAGAAACTAGTGAACAATGAATATTTACTTTGGTTTTAATTTATGACTTCTAAGAATTGCACACTCACGAACTCACATGGAGATTGACATGGTGAGCCAATCAGAAGTAGCGAAACAACAAGGCCACTTGATAAAAATCAGAAATGACCTAAAGAACAACAGCATAATCAAATCCAAACGCTTTGTTACTGATGAATCTTTCAATCTATTGTGTCTCGACTGGATCATGGATTTAAAAGTGTTCGATCGACCATTTCATCTCATTTATAATCCAGATTTAAAATAGTTCGTTCAGTTATCTAGTCTTATTTATAATCAAAGATCTCCCCATCCTTATATGATGCACAAATAGAGGCAGTTTTCCAGAGATTTTCAAAATGATCACAACGGAAGAGCACGACAAAGAAAAACACCCGGAGTAATCCGGCACCCAGCCTAGCTTAATGGTGTATCGCCAGCCGAATCAATGTCCGGAAGAAGGACTCGGACTTAACGTGAAGCCAAGAATCCATATAGAAAAAAGCAAGATTATAAACCTTAGGTGGGGAGAACTGCAGTTCGTTTCACTCAACGTCCAAGGAGGTGAATTTATTTTTCAGAAGTGAAGAGTGAGATAGTAAGCCAACCAAAAGTAGTATAATGAGGTCTTTTGATGACAAACAAAAATGACTTAAAGGATAACCACATATATATATATATATATATATATATATATATGAGTATTTATGCACATTATTCGTTAGATCAGTAGATTTTCCATCCCATTCTTATCTTTTCGTTCAAGTGGTCTGTTTGGGGGGTTAGCGCATACCACGTTATATATCAGTATCAAATTTCGGATAGCGCCCATCATAAAAGAGATGAACTCAAATCTCTTAAGTTTCATGTTCAGCGATATACCATGTAATCACTGACTTACTTAATATTGTCATTTTTTGTTCAATCTAATGTCACTATCAGCGCGTGGCTATTGTCTTTCTTCCAAATGAGTTTAACGTAACACATCAACTAAGATTTCAAGAAACTCATTTGAACAATAATCCCATAAAAATGAATGATTATTATTCAATAAGCTAGGTTCCTTGCAGATTATTTTTCAGTGATTATTGGTTTTATCAATTCCACATCTATACTTTCATCTCGTAATGAAGAGTAATTTTAAAATAATCATGGAATGAACAAGTACATTACTTACCTTGTTACCTTCACTAATCATTATATTATTTGATGATAAATCTCTATGCAGTATTTTTTTCTCTTTATGTAAATAACGTAAACCTAATATTAGCTGAATAAATATATTCCAGATATGGGATTCACGGAAATGTATATTCTTCTCTTTAAAAGATATAAGTAACTCTGTCAACGAAACACCATCCAATAATTCCATCACAATGTATAAATGATCAGCTGTAGAAGGCAAGAAAAAAGTAAGCGAATATTTAGTGATTAATTAATAACTGGTAAAATGAAATATTTAATTACTTTTTATTTGTACAAGTCACCGTTGAATAAGATGGTTGAAACTAAAGATATGTTGAAGATTATTTCAACTTTACTACCAATAAATCATCTTTTCGGTAAATAATTTAAGATCTAAATGTAACTTGAAATATCGAAAACGAAAGTAAATTTTATCAGAAGGGGTTTTATAGTTGAATTCATGAGTCAATTAAAGATAGACCACCATGGAAAACCTGGAAGCACTGGACAGCTGTTTCGCCCTATTGTAGGAGTCCTCAGTAGTGCGCATCTACGATCCCGCCCCGCGAGATTCGAACCCAGGACCAGTCAGCTTTGCGCGCAAACGCTTAACTTCGAATACTACTTAAAACTGTTAGTCCTCTTAATAAATATTTTTTGCAATAATATTATCGGGTCCCTCTGCAGATTTGATTTCAAGTAAACATCAAAAACTAGGAAAGTGTTTCTCAAAATGAAATAAATTCAGGATATCCCAACAACAAAGTTCATGTATTATTAAACAGAAATAAAAATAGGTTTGAATTCGTCATATCATACAAGTAAAAACTTACAATCTAAAAATGTTTTATAATAACGAACAATATTTGGATGTCTCAGTTGTTGACGTATAACATTGACCTCATTCAATATACGATCAATACACTTTTGACGTTCATCGGATGTTCGACCAAAAAATATTTGACTAGTACTAACCTATGAATAAACCTTTCATGTTAGATTAGAAAATAAACTGATATAAATTATGAATAAAGTTTTCTTAATCTTTGCTATTGGTATTATTTACTACTCTATTCCATGTGTCAACATATACTATTGATAGCAAGAAAAATACAAATCACTTTTGTTTCTAAAATTTTCATCAATTTCACATAGACTAAATGAATTCATAAAACTAGAAAAAAAAATCTCAATAATCCTCTCAGATAAAATCAATCATCCAATGAAATAAGATTTACAAATTCTTTATCAGAACATCTCTCTCTAAAGGACTAATATTATCATATTTTTATCTTGACAGTGACCAGCAGCTGTATGTATCCGCACTTTAATGCATATTTTCATACTAAGACTCAAAACGGATACCTTTCGCTTCAAACGCCTTGTTGGCATCAGTAGTGATAAGATGTAGACAGTTATAAATTATAACCTCATTGACATAAAAAAAGTCAGTCGAATATAACCAGTTCATTCCATTCTTGATTTCAGTTAGTTTTTTAAAAAAAAACTGGACATCATAACATCTAGAAAATGAATTCATTATTGGAGTTGCATATTATTAGTTATCTCCTAGTGAAAAATAAATAAGTGGTAAATGCTAGAAATTATTTATGGACTATTACTACATATATTCTTATTGGATAACCATTAAGTAACTATATTATATGTATATTCATATTCCTTCTATTATAGGCTTCCATTTGACCTATTGAATACTATTATACGACTTACGAATCTTAAGTTATTCCTAATTTATTAGTTACAGTCTCTTACAGTCACAGCCGCTTTTGGCTTGATATTGTATAATTGTTATTTTCTATTTTATGAAATGATGCGGTTTGTATATAAACTGCGTGTATCTGAAATAAATGGTTCATACAGTGAAAGCTGAGATTGCGTTTTGGACTAAAACGGACAGGGCTAGACGAGAAAAGCCAATAAAGACTTGAAGTTGACTCTCGGAACATCTCTCTTGAATTAACAATAAAATGGTTGTTTCGGGTTGTATTTATCTTTTGATTTATTCGCCCAACCACCGCCTACCTCAACATGAGATGTTCTCTGGTGTAGGAGTAGGCTGCAAGAAAGCTAGCGCCGACATAACCTTTTTTTGCTTTTATTTCACTATGTTCATTTTCTTTATGAGCTGTATCTTTGATGCCTAATCTTTCTTATTACCACTCATACTGTTACTACCATTCTACGATTCGGTCTGCCAACTTCATCTCTATGCTAATGGGGGATAACAACTTGAACCAATGTACATACGTATAGGTTCTACGTTGTGACTGAATATATATATATATATATATATATATATATATATTCTAGTTTATTAATGAACTCTGCAAACAAAAAACGTTGACTAATGATTATAATTATAAAAATCATTCTTATTGCTTCTAAAAGCAAAATAATAGTCAGGTTAACGAATATCTTCAATATACAATTCAGTGAAAATTACCTTCTTAATTGCATAACTATTATGAGGCATTTTATCTTTTGTTGCTTTAAAAACTTTACCATATGCACCAGTTCCAAGTAATTCTAAAATTGAATATTCACGTACACAATGAATAGGTGTTCGATTTACATCACAAGAAATTATACCTTCAATAAGTTCATTATATTCTTCATTCTATAGCATAAAAGAACAAAAACTGTAATCAATACAAAAATAAAACTACGTTTATTTTATTATACAAACATTAGTGAATGACTGCACATTACATTATATAATGAATTAACAAACTGTTTTTCATTTATATTCTTTAATTTATCTAGAATACAAATACCTGTTAGGTAACTTAATCATTTACCTCAGGATTCTTAATTTTCGTAGACAAAGTGATAATTTAGAAAAGTTAAAACTTTAGATTACAAAATTACTATATCACTTTAGAATAAAAACTGAAAATGAATGATTGATATAATGGATATTCGATCCTCGTTAAAAATATAAGCATTTTGAAGTCTAATAAAAAAATAATCTCTATATGTATAATCACGATGACGGTTATCTGTTATTACCTGAACATCTTTGATAAATTACAAATTAATTATATGATATACTAGACTGTTACAAAATTGTAGGTATTGTTTATGCCAAAATAGTTGTTAAACGAAATTGAATCAAAGGGCAACAAGTTGAATGTAAGTGTAGTCAATAAAAAACCAAACTTTATCCTCCTCAACGTTAAAGATGATGACGTTCCAAGAACAATCAGTAAAAGGCTTAATATCGTATTCGACAGAAACGAATCTGGAGTCAAATTACAAGTTCTGCATACAATATGTTCAATAACTCAATAGGAGGTTGACATGTACTATTTTCATGCTACTGTTAACTACGTCTATAAATTTATGTATCCCTCTCAATGCGGTTACATCATTCACACAGAAAGAAGGGCTTATCCTAGACTTATTTAAAATCTTCGTAAAACCTCAGATCAAAAGGCAGAACAACTTAATTTCTAGACAGATCTTAGACACAAACTTCCGCGTCGATATATTTAGATCTTTCAATGTTAATAGTAAACAGATAACCGACTTTTCGTAGATTCTTGAAACTGTTGTTCTTAGGCCATCGATATCGAATTTATGTGTCTAAAAAAAACAGTCCTCAACATTTCTCTGATTTGGAAAAAAAGTATCTATTTCGTTACATCGTAAAATTCTTTCAACTCCCTGTCTCGAAGGTTTACATTATCGCTATAATTTTTAAATCCCTTTTAGGTACAATAATTACATTTTGAATAAAGTGTTACTCATTCTATTTTTTTATTAGCTTTTGTTTATTAGTTAGTCACTTACTTCTGGTTCGTTTGTCTTAATTTGTTGTCAGTGTTATAAAGCATTATGACACATATATACATTAATAATATTTTAATTGAATCTCTTAAATTTACTTGTATATTTGCTATACTATGATGGTATGTATTCACAGTAATGTTCAACGAACATCAATTGTGTAGTCATTTTCAACCTACTTTGTAAATTTGACTTGTAAATATTACAGGTTGTAAGTATTTGAAGAGAATTTTACGAAACAAAATGAATTTATATCACTGTGCCTAAATCTTTGTTCTAGTTCTCTTCAAGATACTTAACAGAAACTAGGTCTATGAAATTAAATCTGTTAAATATTCCATATAACAAAGTGAACAATAGACTATTTTCAATAGACAATGTTAGAAAACAAAATTCATGATTTTTTGTGACTTACATTCATTGATTCAAGTAGATTGACTAAGTTTTCATAATCATTTGTAATTGTTGATGTCTTGATATCGATTTCGATTAATTCCGATAATAAAGATGATGGTAAAAATGATTTGATTAAACGGCGATTATGTTCAGATATAAATAGTCTACGTAATGCACAAAATGCATTTACCTTGTATTCAAATGTGATAAGTGATACAAAAATACAGAACACAACAATGAATAGAATATAATTATAAAATTATTATGTAAAGTTAACAAGGTTTTACTAATTGTTAAATATGAGATACGTTTCAATTATATAGATAAACTCTTACTTCACTTTCGATACCTAGATATGATAACTCCCATTTCTTTCAACCTTAGTTACTTCAAACGACATATTTTACATAAACGACAAATGTCGGAGACCACAGAAGACTGATTGTAAAAAAATACACTCACCTAAAAACACGTAAAATATGAATGGAAATAAGGTGAAACAATAAGTTTACTAAAAGAATCCAAAGTCAATAAACAATGGCTTCTTCGGGTATGATAGAAGCTGAAGATGATTCTCGCGGAGAGATTTGCATTAAACCAAATCCAAATTTACAAAATATGTCTACATGAAAAGTTATCACTACAGTTTCACATCGAATAGAATGTCAATAAAATCCCTAAAAAACAACAAATATCTTTTTTTGTTCTAGTCTAGAAATCTTTAATTATGAAAACCAAACGATGGATTGTGATATCAAACTAGAAATTTCTTTGTCACTAAACAAACACAATCGCTTTGAATCGATATTTTGAAACCCAATAGTAAACTATTATAACTTTGAGGTATTCGTTTTATGTACAAAAAATATATATTACCATATAAATGTAATCACTTCGCCAGAACAAAACATGGCACAAATCCGTGAAATCATTGACAAGTGGACTGAGTCATGTTGGTAGGTGTAGACTACCTGGTTGGGGACCGCGAGATGATAGCAACCGATGGTTAGAGACCCTGAATGACATGGTTCAAAATCGTTTGCAATGGCACAGGTGCACCCACTCTTTATGTTCCCCCAAATTCTAATCTTCCGAATTCTTCATAGCACTTTCTTTTTTTTCTCTTTCCAAATTTATTTCAGTGTATTATACTCGTTGAATAACATCTTCAAACCCTAATCTTTCCGATTACTGTTTATGCTCTTACTACCTCTACCACTATGGGATTTGAATCGACAACTGTATCTGTGTGCTTATGTGGTATGGCAACTCAAACTGATGTACGTACGTAGGCAGTTCTACGCTGTTACTGACTGACTGACTGAATATTCTACACAAGGCCATTGTAAAAATAATTTAATGTTTAGAATTGAAAATAAATAACTTACGTATAAATGACGAATACTTGCTAATCCAAATTTATTTATATCAATTATCTGTTGTTCTCCAACATTATTAGTTTGTTTCAATTCTGACTCAACTGAATATTTAATTAATAATTGTGAACCAATCAAATATATACCATTTTCACGTGCAATAATTTGAGCATAAAAATCATTCATTGCCAATTGAGATAATATACCACATATAGCTTTATGAAGAAGTAGTAAAATATATAACCGAAAATTAAGTATTATTTATTGTTTAGCTAACAATAAACGCAGAAACTTTCTATTATATAATATTTTTATTATATATTCTCATAAATCGATCATAATTTACATTTAACATGAACGTCGTTTAGTAAATATCGTTTAGATAAGATCTAATAACAGTTTGTTCATCAACTATTCTAAACAAACAATTTATCGACTGTATTCAATCGTATAGAAATATGTCAAGTGGTACCACGATGTATTTATTTACCATCAAAGAAAATTTTCTTTTCGACGAAATTATTTAATTAAGCTGTACATTCGTATATATGTCTATAGGAGGATAGAAAAGATTGCAACACAAAAATGGATTCGAGACTAAATAACAAATGAGGTTACCCACTAAGCAAGGGCTAAGGAAGAAAATCGTTTTTGGGTCAGTTAATAGTCCAATTAACAGATTCGAAGACGAACGACAAACAAAAAGTCATGATAATAAACTGAATAATAATCAAGAAAACTTGTATAAGGTAATAATTGTTATTTAGTCACGAATCCATTTTATGATACAATCTTTCCTATCCTCCTATAGACATATATTTTCCATATAACTATATATACGAATGTACAGCCCAATTAAATCATTTCGTCGAAAAGAACATTTTTTTCGCTGAATTCTCTTTTTCTTATTCAATGACACCATGGGTTATCTTAATTACCATTAAGGCTAACAATCACAACATTGTCATAATTATGATATGATAAAGAAAAACTGCCTGTATTTACATTTAGTTATTGATTAGAAATAGTTGTGATAAAAGTACCACAAAATAAACGTCTATGTAGACTGTAGATATTCTTTACTACTAGCAATTCCGAAAAGTTAATCTTAAATTACTTTGAAATAACTAACCCTCCTCAATCTATAAAATTTTGTTTAATTTATTATAAAAGTGGAAAACTTCTCAGATTATATTGGTTACTTAAAGGAGCACTTAATAATGAAATTAAACTTCTCTAAATGGGGACTTACATGTATTGCGCCGTATAGTATCTTGATCAAAATCATGTACCTTGAGAAAAATCAATAAAAGATCAGATAACAAAATTTATTACAGTATGGGATTGTGAAGATTTTTGAGTTTTATCGAAATCACAAACCAATTTATGTAAGACAAACATTGATAACCTGGAAGAAGTGAACGACTGTTTAGTTCTAGTATGGGACTCCTCAGTAATACGGATTCACAATCATGCAACTGGTAATTGATCCAAGGACTTTCAGTCTCACTCACAAATGATTGACCTCTTTTATTGGAAAAACTGTATATTTTAATCGAAATTTTTCTTAAATAATATTATTCGGTAAAGATTCAAACGTAATACTTATTACAGTAGTCTAGCTTGCTGTGACATTTGTTAAAAGTTCATTTGTTCAGTGCATGCTGGAACTTCTGAATAAATATCCTGAATGATGTTATAATCACAAGCACGATATAGATGTCCTTGAATGATTAAATTCACTAACGAACTACTAAGTAAATATAGCTTGATGATCAAACTACACAGAAAAAGCAGTGTATTAGTAATTTATTCAGATATCCTATAATTTTTTTAAACCAACATTAATTCTGAATCCATTTCTCACTGTAAATCGAAATAAGCAAAAGAATCATTGGAGAACAGTAAATACACGACATATGGTTTATCCTACAACGGGATTCTTCAAGAGAGCCTAAAACCCATATAAGATTGAAACCAAGATCCTAAGTTTTCACAATAAGCACCCTACATTCAGACGATTGAGAAGTTCTTTAGTTCACCCATAAAGCGACTATTATCTATTCTCAACACTGATATCTCACTAAATATTTTTGGCTAACTAGTTCATGACGTCAATTTATATAAAATTTTAAAAGTCGTTTATCTAAATGAAAATTTAATTGTCATTATATCCATGTAAACGACATAGGATTGAGAAATTGGAAAAAAAAGTCCATATTCTTTAATATGTATTTATTTAAAATCAAATAATTTATTCATAACTTCTAATTCAAACTATAAAAGTTAGCTCACCGATTTCGTTTCACAGAGACATTCTATCGAAGTGTTTACGGTATATGTCGACGAGTTTATATAAACTGAACAATTGGACAGTTCTCTTACGTTTCTAGGTTTGGATAAATTGGATTTGTACTGCAAACATACTCTGAAATTTATTGAGATATTTTTTTATACCAACTTTATCATGAGTAAATATTATATTTTACCAAAATTTGATTTGGGATATATTAAAGATTTTCCTAAGGAATTACAGATGAAACTGTTTTAGTAAAATATTATAACTGCTAAATTACTAATTGTCATGTAACTTCTTAACCACAAATGCCCTTGAAAAATAAAGTTACACGCTGACACGAAACTAATAATTAACATAATGATATGATGGAATAAAAAGACTAGATTACGGTTTTTCTTAATTCAGTGTGATTGTTGCTAAATATTGAGCGGCCTATGCTTCTACACGAGGAGTAACAGGCATAAGTAAGTATATATTTGCGAAATATTACTTCCTTTTTTTAAAGTCAGTGTAGTAACTGCTCAGAATAATATTTATTTTATTTTTATTGTAATATTTAGCTGAGTATAAAATTGGTTTCATTTTCAGTATGACGTCTAATCACGATATGAGATTTTGTGTAATAGGACAGCGTAAACAATGTTTAGCATGACGTGCAGTATGCTATTTTGTTATAAATCTGGGCACTTTTCATGTATGTGACGTTTTGTTAAGAAATAATCAAGTGAAGGTACAAGTCAATATATAAATGAGTGTATTTTCGGCTACGATCGTCGTGTTTTGAAATTAATGCGTTTTCACGTGTACCAGTCTTTTGTATTCTTACTTTCCGTTGTCGGAATTGTAATGGTTCCTCTTTTTCAAGTATAAATAATAGAGCAACGGGAATTAATGCATAGTTCTTGATGGCGTTTTGTTCTCTGAGCTGGATGGTTTGGTCGTGGAGCTTTCATCGGTCTTCTGAACGACACCATCAGCACAAACTTCAGATAGAAGTGAAGTGTTCGAATTTCTCCATATGTGTTTCACAGCTTGTTCTGTGCACCTCGATGTTGATTGGTTCTTATTGACCTTAAATTTGTCATTGTTTACTTTTTTGTCTTGGTTTTGTCTCCTATTGGTTTGATTCTTGTTCCTATATGTGTGCATAAGTTTCCTGATTGGTCGATAAATCGGGTCGATTTCAATATGTTTGTTGATTGCTGATTGAACTGAGTGCCAGGCTTCTAAAAATTCTCTTGTGTTTTTAATTAATTTGTAATTAATTAATTTGAAAACAAATGTTCTACATCAAAAGATGACTGATAAGTAGCATTATGAAACGGATCGATAACATGTTAATAGATATCAATTACTCTCAACTACTGGATTCCGGGCTTGAATCCTACATCATCTACTATTTTTCTGGTAGCGTACTAAGTATTACTAAACCTCATACAAAAGGGTTAATTCATAACCGAGTACATGAAACCCTTTACCTGATTACTGAGTGGGAGAAGAAAAACAAATAATTTATGCTTAATTGTCAAACTAAACGGTAAATTTCTGCACACACAATTTTTCACATTTATAATTGACTAATCACTGATTAGTAACCACTGTGATGTTTTTTAGTCCTTCACGCTGGTTGAAGTCTATCGATCAAATTCAAATGTGGCCAATAGTAAATAGTGAATTGATAGGCGAACACTATAGTGAAGTGTTTGGTGATTAGAGGTAGTCGGCAGGAATCACTTGACGCTCTTACTCGTCAACATTAAGTATCTGGAATCACTTAACATCTCAAAAATGTGAATGTGATGTTGATTTAATTAGACATTGCACAATGCAACTTGATTGGTAGGTGTTTATCAATACTAAACCACCAGATAAATATGATGCTGGTGTTTACTCAATAGTTGGTCGTTGATAGAGCCTCAGACTGAGGAAATGGACAGCGCGATTTTGAATTCTAAAACAAGTATTAGTCCCCTCAAGACTGCAGGTGCCTCCCATTGACGAGTATCAACTAACACGCAACCTAGATCCAAGGTTACCTGACAGTTAACTAAAACCACCTTAAACAAATTCTCATGTTTAAGATTTGTGTATAAACGGAAGATGCAGCGTATTCACTTTCAACTTTGATCTGAACGTTATCAGATTCACATGATCACATATATAATGGAAGGTAAATTATAACCTTTGAATAGATTTTTCTATTGAAGATTATGGTACAGCTTACCAAAATAAAAGAAACTAAAACATATTCAATGATTATAAGCTATGAAGAATACATATAAATACCTTTCTTTAGCAGAGTTTAATTTAGGCAGAAACTTAATTGTCAATTCTACAAACACTATTCAATTAAACTATATTAAGTTAGAACCCAGGACACGTTGGTATGGCTAGAATCTGAGTTATATATCACGAAATGACACCTGCTACGTAACTTTGAAAAAAGCAAACTAAAAACTTATTGAGAATCCATGACATTACTGACTGAAATTTCTTTATTCAAAGATAAAAATAACCTTTACATGATTACGTAAAGACAACAAATTAAAATCGATTCAATTGACAAGTATGTAATTACTGCTTTGCTTGCTTTAAACATCGAACGTTCATTCACTCATTGCGTATATTTTATTAATTTTGATACAATTTATCTCCCAATTACTTTCCAGCTCTGTGATACAGTAAACTTGTTTGCCAAAGTGAGAGAATGTACATTTATTTTCTACCCAACTGGAATCTCGTACATATAATGATAAAACATGAAATACTGTTTCTTTTTAAAAAGCTATAACCTACCTTAAATAATTCAATAAAATTGGTATTCCATTATGATTACGAAGAATTCGTTGACATTTTGATATTTTTATTAATTTTTCTAAACATAATATAATGTATGTTGAAAGAGAAGTTAAATTTTCAATAATTCCATTCATTTCAATGGTTTGGACGAATGCAAAATAATCAGTTAGTTTGAGAATTTTCAAAAGATTCTCTTCATCAATTTTAGTTCTTTCTGGTTTCTGTTATTATATAAAAAGTATAAGATAAAAAATGATTTAAAATCAATTCAAACCTTGATTCCAAACTAATGGTGTATAAATGGTGTATGACCCATTTGTTGGTCATCAGCTACCATGGGACTGCATCTCCTTAAGTTTCTCCACTACCATATGGATTAGACCTTTCGATCAAAGGCTCGAGGTGTGGCCACCTAAGGAAACCACCTGCTTTGATTTGGGCACCCGAGCAGTATCCTAGCCCTCGCATAAATCGGATGATTTATGTGGTGCACATCTATTTGGTGCCTTCTTGTGCCAATGTTTATGTGTATAAGTAAGTAGTAGTAGTAATAGTTGTAGTAAGCAAGCACTTTAAAAAACAATGTAGTTTTACCTACTAGAATTTTATCTTAGTAATTAATAGTAAACAATCATTAAAAAATATGATCAGTAAGAATGCAAATAGCATATATGAACGATACAGTTATTAAGAAAATAGTAATGAACTATTTCAGTAATCTTGCGAGGATTTTTTAAGAAGCTTTTAAGGTATCGTTTATCAATGACTGACATCAATTGTGTGTATCTTTGAAAATCGTAAAGTAATAGTCAAAAGTTTCGTTTATATTTGAAACCCATTTTATTATTATTATTATGATTATTATTATTAATGGCACTATTCAATATTATATTTTTGATGCAATATAGAATTCACAACACAAGGTATTTCAACAAGTTTCCTTTTCACATTTCTTGGTCGATACTGATGATAAATATTGAGTGATCGCAAGTTAAGAGTTAGCAGTTCGAGAATGGTATCTGAATAATGTTCATTCATGATGTCTCTGACGATAGTTTTTTGTAACTTGTACAGATAAAGGTTGTAAACTTTTTGTAAGCGTTCCTGAATAGGTTATGCAGTGAATAGACATAATGATGTGTTAAAACAAACAAAACCAGATAACTTGTTGAAATATCTAGATGACAGAAACAGGTAGCCCAGATATTAAAGCAGATAGCCGAGAAATAGTGAAAGAATACTCCACAACGAGCTGATATGAAAACCTAAAAATTACACAAAACCTACATAAAATCATTTAAATAAATAATAATCATATGCTCACTACTGGATGTGTGAAGATAAATTTTCGAAATTTCTAGATTAAAATTGCTATAGATGAAGTCAGTTACAAAATTAATGCACTAACTTACCTATGAAATTGAGTAAGGATCACACTATCGTTGGTTGACTGAGATCAAAACCTATAGATCATTTAGTAGTATAACGGTAGTGTGCTAATCACACTTCCTAAAGATGCTTAGATTCCAAGTACGGTCAGGAATGCCGAAAGCTTGGGAATTAAAAATAAATGTCTAATACTTCTTATTTTTCGGTGATTTATCAAATGATACCTGTGTATAATAAAGACGATTATGTTAATCAGTTACGAAAGAGGATTCACTACAAGCTAAGAAACTCATTCTCTTCAATGATACAAAATATATTTCACATAAAACTGATAGTTTATCTTTCCAGAGGTTAATATTATTATCATTTGTTTAAAAGATAAAAATGTAGAAGGTTATCTCACGTGAATACACAGGATCTAACTCACAGAAAGTTTAAATTGCTTTCGAATTTACTTAAAACACTATTTAATAAATAACTCTAGCTACGAACACTAGAACAGAAAAGTGAAAACTCTATATACTACTAATTAATCGAATTGAAAACGAATGGATCCCGATTGGGTTATTTTAAGCATGCATATTGGTCATTGTGAAATCAAAAAATTTCAAGTGTAGTTTTCTGGATATCGTTGAGGAATTCTAGAAATTGATGAAGGTGAATAGATGGGAACAACTACTCAGTGATCCTTATTTTTCATTAAAATATTTATAAGGATGTACTGATTAATCGCAATAATGACCACATATATCTGTTCATTGAGATCTTAACATTTTTAACTGTAAACCAAAACGGTCCAATAACAACACTTACCGAGGATTCATGTTCACATGAAATTAATGATAAAAGTTTCGGTATTAGCAACGGTTTTGTTGACAAACGTTTCAAGTAGTTATCGTCTTCGGTCAATACATGAAGCAAATATAATTTCAACCTTGATGAAATTTAAAACAATCATCACTATGACAAAAAGTTAATTGGAAGTATAAAATTCTTAATAGAAGTGGTGTGAAATTAGAAAAAGGAACAGATAAAAAATGTGATTTCAGCTGGCTTTTGAATGAATATTCATTTTTATTAGAATTTGTTGATAGTGATTAAAATCAACCTGTAAGTTTATTTGGTCAAAGGAATCTAAAAGCGAACATCATGTCGTCTCAAAAACCCATAAATAAGTGATAAAAAAAAAAGATTTTTAAAAGCATATACTTTCTAAAACAATGGTACCGGTTGGATTTTCATGAGGTTTAAAGTAGACTCTTAAAGGGTCGGAACCATGTAGACTTACGAATAACAGTGTTTAACCGTCTCCATAATAATGTTCGCTCGTTCATACCTAATAATTACTAAGTATCTTTATGTTAAATATTTGAAATTTGTTAGTATGAACTTACTGTCAAACTACATGTCATGGTTGTTGAGAGTGTATTTTTAATAATTAGGAATTTTTCACTATCTAGAAAATTAAGAATCATTTCACTTTCAGCCATACTGACATATATAATCAGCGACCACTCCTGCCTTAAATCGATCAAGTAAACCATCTACTGCTCACTTAAACAGTAATCTATGTAATGAATATAATAATTTAGCAGGAAACTTTGGAATATTCCTCCTCATCAAAGATAAAAGCAAAATGTACCACCTCGACGTGAAATGGCTAACTTAACCACAGGACTGAGCTGTGCTGTTTAGATTGTAGTACAAAATTGTAGGTAGTGTCTGTCTCTCCTAAAAACTAATATAAAATTACCCTACTTCAGGGTATATTTATAAAATGTGAATATTTGCGAGATAGGATTTAATGACCAATATATTTAAAATAGTCCTCAGGACATGGACGTGGACATGGCTCACCATTAAAAGACTGTACTGCACACAAGAATGAGATTTTCTCACTAATCGATCCACTATGTTGATTAGTAATTATAACCTTATTTCTAAGTAATCTGCACAATATTTTTAGTAGTTGAATTCATGAGTCAATCGAAGCTAGACCACTATGAAGAAACTGGTAGCACTGGACGGTCGTTTCGTCCTATTATGGGACTCCTCATCAGTGCGCACCCACGCTCACGCTTCGCGAGATTCGAACCCGGCACCTATCAGTCTCGCGCGCGAGCGCTTAACCACTAGGCCAACGGTGTTAATGTCTAACTCCAACTAATCCACGAAATTGGGCGACATTGTCATCAGTGAGCTACTATCTCACGACAGACCTGGTTGAACTCCACTGGTCACTGATCGTCACCAGAACATCAGGATGTACCTCTTGAAGCCAGTAACAAGTGAGCATATGTTGATTAATGTCAGAAGGGGTTTTGTAGATATTATAGTAATTTCAATAGTTGAGATCATGAGTCAATTGAAGCTAGACCATCATGGAAAACTTGGAAGCAATATTTTTATTTGATGACAAAAAAAAATTGTAAAACCTTCAATGTTAAACCACTATTGAAAACCTAGAAGAACTGGATGGCCATTTCTCCCTAGAATGGGATTCTTCATCAGTGCGCATCCTCGACAGAATGACGGTTTAACATTGGTCGGTTCATGATTTCAATGAAACTCAACAATTAATTAACCTTGTACTTACAATAACCAGTTAAACTATCAGTTTGTTATAAACAACCGCAGCACAATATACTAAATAAAATATGAACATCACTGTGAATACAATCAACGAGATTTTCCTGTATCAGGATCCTAGAGAATATGAAACTTTCAGTAGTGATTCGTAGAGAAATATTACACAATTGTCAAATTGTATACCAACCAGACGACTTAAGATAAATAATACATATTTGGTGGTGAATGTAGCCACTGAAATATATTTTAAGTGGTACTGTTTGTTTCGGAAATGAAATAATCCTAAAAGGTGTAAAAATCGTCTATATGAAAGATGATGATCTTGAAAGAAATCAGTGGTAAATGGGACGGTATTATGTGATCGTATCAAACCGAATCTCAATGAAAATTCACTTCATTCCAAAAAGTACATCACTATATGTACTTACTTACTTACGTCCGTTACCCCTCATGGAGGAGCATAGGCCGATCACCAGCATTCTCCATCAAACTCTGTCCTGGGCAATACTTTCCAGTTCCTATTCAACCTTCTCATGTCTGCTTACATTTCGCGACGCAGTGTGTTCTCTGGTCTTCCTCTTTTCCGTTTCCCTTCAGAATTTCAAGTTAGTGCTTGCCTTGTGATTCAGTTTGATGATTTCCGTAATGTGTGTCCTATCCACTTCTAGCGTCTTTTCCTAGTTCCCTCTTAAGTTGGAAGCTAGTTTCTTCTCTCCCGTAGTACACTGTTGCTGATGGAGTCCGGCCAACAGATATTGAGTATTTTTTGTACACAATTGTTTATAAATACTTGTACGTTTTTGATGATGGTTGTGGTGGTTCTCGAATTTTTGGCTCCGTATAGTAGAACTGTCTTGACGTTCGTATTGAAGATTCTGACTTTGATATTGGTTGGCAGTTTTTTTAGTTCAATATGTTCTTCAGTTGTAGGAATGCGGCCTTTGCTTTGCCAATCCTCGTCTTTACGTCTGCACCTGAACCTCCTTGTTCATCGATGATGCTTCCCAGATAAGTGAAACTTTCCATCCCTTCCTGCAAGTTTCTTCGTCCTTTCATAAATTCGTTCTGTATTTCCTTCTCTTGCAGCGTTTCCCGCTGTCGTTGCTAGCTCTTCCACGTATTTCTGCTTGTCAGCCCTAATGCTCTTCTTTACTTACTCGTTTGCTCCTGTGAATTCAGTCTGTACCTTGACTTTATCTGCTCTTGTTCGTTGCTATTAATTACTGTCCTCTTTCTTTCTTGAATCTTGTCTAGGGTTTTGTTCTAGATCCATTCATTATAATGATGCTTCGTTGGTCCCTTTTCAGATGTCCTCCATAGTAGCTTCTTCTCTCAGTAGATCCTGTAGGGCTTGGAACCAGTTTCTGAGAGTTATCTTGAATTCGTTGAGTTCGTTAGTATCTCGAAGGAAAGCTGTATTGAACCATTGTAATGTTATTTGTCCAGTTGTCCAATGCTTCTTTAGCTTCAGTTTCACCTTGGTCACAACCAGGTGGTGATCTAAAGCCATGTCAGTTCCTCTCCTGGTTCTCACGTCTTCTATTGTCCTTGTGGATTTCTTACTGGTGCAAATATGATCGATCTGGTTCTTCGTGGTGTGATCCGGTGAGACCCATGTAGCTTTGTGTATGCGTTTGTATGGGAATATTGTGCCGCCTATAATTAATCTATTGAATGCACATAGATTTGCAAATCTCTCGCCATTCTCGTTCCTTAATCCTAGTCCATGTTGTCCCATGATATTTTCGTACCCGGTGTTGTCTATTCCGACTTAAGCGTTTAGATCTCTCGTCAGTATGGTGAGATCCTTTTTTTGGCACTTCACTATGATCGACTGCAGCCTCTCGTAGAACTGATCTTTATCGTCATCATTGCTATGATTGATGGGTACATAACATTGAATAACATTTATTGTAAATCCCTCATTCTTTGTTTAGAATGATGCTTTGTTGGTCCTGGATTCATGGAACTCCCATCATATAAGTGCATTTCATGCTACTTTGGACAGCATTAGAGCAACTCCCTGAGTGTGTGGAGAATTTTCCTCTTCGTGACCGGTGTATAGCAGCATCTCTCCCGTATTTTGACTTTGTGGTTGTAGCAAGCCCATTCCATTAATGTATTATTTGTCTACACAACTGTGTTAATTTCCATATGAGTATGATTGAGCGTGTGTCTGCACTTCAATCCCTATTCTATTCCCCATTGGTTGTGACACATAGATAATCAATAATTTATCTACACTTGATTGATACTCAAAAATATATAAAAATCTTTTAACACAGACACACACACTTTGATTTTTGTCTCACTCGGTGCTTGCTTGCTGTATGCTTGCGGACTTTACCAAGCTTTAACAATAAACTATCTCTATAACTGATTTTTGGGCTTTTTAATGATCTCGAGTAAATCGATAATTCTACTAGGAGATTAAGCCTGTATTAAATACTCGGTTAATGAGATATCTTTATTTGGAGTCGAATATAGAGGAAATTTATCTCAACAAACTTGGTTAACCTCTACATGGTCTAGCTTGAATCCAATGGTTTTCGATTATTCCCAGTACTGCCAATTTTTAACTCCTAATTTGCGTTGCTATTTGACTAGTCATCCCGGTCTCCCACACTGTCCGGACGTTCCATGTACCTAAAGAAACTGTTGTTCCGGTTTTTAGAAAAAGCATTGACCTCGTGACTTCTGAATAATATCGGCTTTCACCATGAGGCGTCATAATTCTTCCTTCAACTCCCAGGGCAGGGTTTAAATGGTTTAATTTGTTTGTTCTTGTTAGCGTTTTTTGAGCATGGTTGTTTTCTACAGGATAAGGTTGCCGACCCCACGCCCAACTCTCCTTCTTTGCCCGGGCTTGGGACCGGCAGTAGACCTAGAAGAGCTGCAGACGGAGTTGCTACTGTCCCTAAATGCCCTGGTACGGTCGAGGGTGGGAAGAGTTCGCTCTCCTCAAAATGCTTTGGCATGGTCACGCGTATACAGCCACTCTAGAGGAATTCCTACTTACTGCTTTTTCGCGGCATGGGCGTTGTTTACGAAATTAACAGGACAAAAAGACGATATTGGTAGACACGGATAACCCACATACAGGGATTGTAAAACCCCTATTCCAAAGCAGTGGTTTGTATAGACTCCAGGATTCTGAGGGGATAAAAGGTATATGAACATATTGTTGATCACTGATTACCATGGGACTGCATCTACTAAAGTTGCTCCACTGCCTTATGGATTGGACCTCCAGGTCAAAAGCTCGGGGGAGGTCCCCTGAGAAAACCATCTGCTTCGGTCTGGGCATCCGGGCAGCATCACAGCCCTCACACAAATCAATGATAACTGCTGCTGGCCGCACCGTTATTGTGTGGAGCATATGTATTTGGTGCACCTTGTACCAATGTTTATGTGTTCAAATAAATAAATAAGTGCTGTTATCAAGTAGAAACCGATTTCATCTAATTACAAAAGTGTTCTAATCCAGTTTAGGTAACTCCATGCGTCTCTTCCAAACAATTAACAAAACTCCGGTCTTAAAATTTAGTTAAGAGAATATTTTAAAACTTACAATAACATAATCATCAAGTACTACAGAGAGAAGAAACGAATAGATAAATCCTCTTTTATTCGTGTGCAGCAATTGTATTCCAAAATATCAAAGTTCTATAGCTCCTTGGAAGAAACATCAGCACAAAACTCGTATCAGTAATACTAAACATCAAGTCATACTTTAACTTCTAGCTCATTAAAGTGACTATTCAGTGATTAAATACCTCGGATACGATCTCTGTCTAAGACATTATACCATTTTAATGAGTGGCTGAATAAATATACTAACAATTAACTATTACTTTAGAGATCATATCATTAAACCAACCGAAATGAAAATTGCAATTTTAACGCAGAGGGGGTATATTATGACAGACAGTTATATATTGTAATAAATTTCATCTAGAAGAACAAATATCGCACATTAGGTAGAAACATTTCAAAACATAAACAGTAAACAACTTGTTAAAATAATACAAGGGGATAAAATCAAAATCACTTTATAGTTTTAGTGCAATATGAAAACATAAGTTATTTGACTGCTCTGAAATCAAAGGTCGATAGCTTTACGATCACTTCTATTCTTTTTCTACCATAGTTAAACCGATACTTAAGATTTCATGTCAACGTTGGTAAGGGTTCAATATGCCTATTAAATGTATTAAAAAGCATAGTCGAGAGAAGATAACAAACTTATCAACAATATTTTAGACAAGTTTTGATCAAAAGAAAAATCGCTATTTAAATAAACCAGGAATATCATTCACAAACTCTTGGATAATTTTGACATGATGTATTTCGATAAGATGTACTAAATATTTATCGAAAAAATAGTCAAATAAGACTGTCATTAATCGGCCGTAATAATGACTAAAATGACTTCAACAATGACATAATGATTACATAAGTGCGGATCAAAAACGATTCGTATTTAAAACAATTACCGTCTCTCAGCCTGATCGATGTAAGTCGAATTTTGTAACATCGCATGAATATTTACTGCTTCACCAATCTAACGTAATAATCGATCAAGTCTAACGTAGAAAACTTCTGGTTCAAACAAACTACAGAATAAAATGCATATTAATTCACATGGTCACATGTAAATGTTCCGACATCTGTAATGAAAAAAATATACTTAAACCTCAGGTTTACTATAGAAACAAAAATTAATCAGACAAAGAAATTGTGTAAAAGAGAGAATGAGAATAACACAATCCAAGACGAAATAACTTCCGAAAACAGCATTCTCTAGAGATCTGTGTTTATCAAAAACTTACACAATATTTATAACTGATACACTAAATATTCAGTTAAGTACAGAGAGATGAAAGGTTTCTAACATTGAAGAAAAATTAATTGAATATTTTGTTTTATGTACAACAATGTAGAGTCACACAGACTAATGGAAACAGATTATCCAGAACTTGTGATGTAACTTTAGGTAGTTCTCAGGTGTAACGATGAAACATTAGACATATAGAATCATACCAAAACACAGCTTAATATAACATTATTTAGAGCGACTCAGATCTACCTAGTGAGAAAAACATATGTTGTCACTGTTGTACTCAAGAATCTTGTGGGAAATCGCTAAGTTAGACAGAATTTATGAGAAAAACGCTTACATTATAACATTAGTTCTTAATGGTAAAAATCTCAAACTCGTCCATTTTAGTGTCTCAATAAGTGACATTTTTAAGCTTTTATTAACTCAATTCGAATATTAGTAAACACGAAACCTTTGATAAAGGATTTGGTGGAAATTTCGTAACACATTATTAATATAAATGAATCTGCCACAGACTATAAAGATGTTATTGTGCATTTGGTCTAAAAGACTGGGTAATGAAGTTCGCTAACTGACCAATTCGGCAGGGATATCTGTCAGACTAATTGAATATATTTTGTAGTAATACCCGTGCGTATTGAAAATAGATAACATTCTATGACAAAATTACCACATATCTGCCGTTATTTACATTTGTTTCATGAATCTATTTATAGCCGAACTGAGCCTCCAATACCGACTGTCAAGCACCTACAGACTGTATTCACAGATTTCCGTAATAACTTTTCAAAAATTCTTTATTTATAACTTACTGTGTGGCCAAATAGAGATTTGAATTTTTATTAACATCTTGGCAAGAGCAACAGGAGAGTCGTAATTAGCGAATAAGAAATAAGAAAACAGTCCTTTTTGATAGGTTACCGGCAAAAGTCATGAAACAACGTTTTTCATTTGATAATGTTTGCAAAATACTTACATCACCACTAGAAGACAGTAACAATTGTAATGACGTATATAGGTCATGATAATGAAGATTTGAACCAACGTTATCAATCAGCTAGTCATAGACAACATAGAAACTCAGCAAATCAGAACATTCGGCGCACCAAAGTTACACGAAAGAAAATATTCCTGATGATACTGAAACACTGAATCTTAAAGCATGTCAACACAGGACTGGAAGACAACCATAATCTTCAGTCTTCAAACTACTAAAACATAGATCTAGCGGGTGATTGGTTTTATAACACAACTCACTAATTTTCATTCATGTGCGTACACAAACCACACTGCACTAAATTAGCAATACAAAATCGAAGTAGGACGTTTCTGATATACGATCAAGTTCATACACTAAAGAGAACTATAAAACGTAAAATTGAATAAGTTAAATCTCCCTAAAATCACTGAAGTTTAATTGACTATAACTTTAAAGCTGCGGTTTTTCTCTTCCCAGAAAATCTTTGAAGTATCTTAGCTTATTACCGTATATCGTCTAAAGTTGAAACTTCAATCAGTGCATAAACCCAACATTGATAAAAATCACTTAGGTTTCAATAGTACAATTTTGTAATCCTTGAATGTGTAATATTCGATAAAATACCAAAGACAACCACAGGATTAAATCGAGTGCAAAAATAAAAACGTATAACGATTTGCGTCTATGCAAGTATGTAATTGTTCACATTGCGTGTGTATGCACGTTGTGTTATTGTAGAGTGAACAACTCGATCAGTACTGATCGAGTTGGCTAACGTTGGCTAGAATTGCAATTTGAGTGAACACTTAGATAAGATAAGAATATACTCGTAGCTTGATAAGTTTCCAAATTATTGTAATTGCCTGAATAAATGTAAAGATTCAACCAATCCATCAATAATTTTAAAACGAATGTCTCACCATGTCCATATATGCCGCCACGTCTTTTTGTGTAGCGACTAATGAAAATGCATATGTTAAAACAATTAGCACCCACCCTCTTTGTGGCACGTATACCGAACAATTATGACAGATAGTATTTTAAAATCAGAAAAAAGCGGCCAAAAGAAAGAATAGCAAGCAAATAAATATTTTAATCATTTGAACAGTTAAAAAAACGGGCAAACAACTATACGGAAACGAAAATTAAGTGGAGATGATAAGATATGAGATAGAACGTGAAGAGATACGATGATAAGACTGTGAGGCAGCATTGGGCTAACATAGTAGACGAAATATCATCTTATTGAGATAGTGAATGTAATAATCTCTGGTCCAAATGAAAGACTGTAAAAATGGATCCCGTCAAAGTAGCTGTTATTATATTTGCTGAATAGCTCAGGCTGACTAATATACATGGTTGCGCTTTGTCAGAGATGATATCACAGATTTTAATGTTTGGTTAAAATACAGCTTTTTTACTTGGCTGGTACGGTTTACTTTGTCTGTTTTACATTTTCAAGTCACACTTTATTTTCTTTTACCTCAATTACATGATAAAAGTTAGTCACGTATTTCTCTCAAAGTTTTGTTCCTTAACCCCTATAACCCGCTTCTTTATGCGTTCTTAAACCCTCCTAAAAGATCCTCGCTTTCTTAGGGTAAATGGACTACGACAAATTTAATACGGTTGAAGTGAGGTGACATTTAGGTTTTTAGTGTTAAAACAGTTGCAGGGTGAGTGTGCGACGTAGTCGCCATATGAAGTAGAAAGCAGTACACCGTTTGATTGTTGCACCAGTGAAATTCGGGCTTTCAGATAGTCTCTTCGTATTCAGCACACCTATATCAGATTAAAGGTGTTAAAAACAATCATAAAACACGTTAAATTGTAGTGACATACTTTTGTCAACAGAACGAGATTGGTTCAATCAAAACAATTATTATTACGACCAATTGTACCAGTGATTGTTTCACCGTGCTCGTTTGTTCAACTGTACTAATGACAGCCATTTTGGCCTTCCATTGAACTCCATTACTTCTGCGCAGTTTGTGACTCTACGCACGTACTTTCTCCTGCCGATCCCACTTGTACTCCTTTGGCACCATCTCGGTATTCTTTCGAAACCACGAGATCGCCAGCGAATATATCTCGACTACAGCCATCGTCTGTCTTCTGATATTGGCCTACGGGAATCTTATTGGCTTACAGGCACGTAGTCTTGTAGCGGTGTTCATAATCAAGCGCGACTCGGCACCACGCTACAATTGGTGATCTAAATCTTGGAACACGTCTCAACCTCGGTCAAATCTTCCAAAGAAAGCAATTCGGTGAGTCTATTGTTTATCTATCCACGTCTGTAGTGTATTTTCATATTAATTTTTAATATATAATATACTCGACATGACGGATAACGATAAGAATAGTATTGATATAATAGACTCCGATGTGCGCGTACCGAATCCTCGGCACTTTTTATTCGCGTGACGATAAATTCCACGCTTCATTCGAGAAATTACCCAGAATAACTAAACCACTCGAGGAGATTTCACCAGTGACCAATCGTGTGGTACACCACATAGTCACCCGCGGACCACCAGTCACGGCAAGACCACGCCGACTGGCACCGGACAAATTAGCTTTTGCTAAACGTGAGTTTGACAATTTACTATCTACTGGTATTATTCGTCGTTCTCGATCTGGTACGAGCATATCACCAGATCTCAGTCGCTCTTGAAGACATCGAAAAAACTGCTATCACGACTCCTTTCGGTCTGTTTGAGTTCCTACGAATGCCATTTGGATTACGGAATGCTGCTCAAACTTTCCAAAGGTTTATCGATAGCATAGTACGAGACTTGGATTTTGTTCACGTCTATATTGATGACCTGCTAATCGCATCATCAAACGTAGATGAACATTATCAACATCTTACACTATTATTCCAACGCCTCTCGGATAATGGAATAGTAGTCAACCCAGAGAAATGTGAATTGGGTAAATCAGAAATAATATTTCTGGGTCACATCATCAGACAAGAGGGTATTCTGCCTTGCGAGGACAAAGTTTGAGCAATCAGGGAGTACAACGTGCCGTCCTAAATCAAGGAACTGAAGGCTTTTCTCGGTTTGGTTAACTTCTACCGACGTTTTATCCCTCACGCGGCAGAACGGTTACGACCATTAACCGATTTACTACGCGGTAATCCACGCAAATTAGAATTGAACGATACCGCACGTACTGCATTTTCAGAGATCAAAACGTCTCTGGCGCAAGTCATACTCCTCGCTCATCCTGACCCATCAGCCACTCTTAGTATAGCGGTTGATGCATCGGATTTTGCCATAGGAGCCGTTATGCAACAGAATATCTCCGGTAGTTGGCATCCGCTCGAATTTTTCTCACGAAGCCTTACTCCCACGGAGACGAGATATAGCGCATTTGGTCGCGAACTGCTAGCACCCTCAGTGCCATCAAACATTTCCTCCACGCAGTAGAAGGACGCCAATTCATCTTATTCTCCGACCATAAGCCCTTAACGTATGCCCTGCAGGCTCACGAAGCACGAACGAGACTACCGTCTCACGTTCCGGTCGCCGAGTACGCTTAACCGTACGCTTTCGCGACTAACCGCTCAGTCAACATCGAATACGGTGTAGGACAACCATATACTACATGCATGCTACACTTTTTTTTATTATTTTTGTATTCTGAGCCCACGCCTCTGACCATCGCCCGTTTGGCAACGTCGACTTCAGTCAACCTTGGCGAAAGCTGGCCTGATCACCTACATTCTTGTCAACGCACTCAGTCGATAATCTGGTTTCGAATTCGCCTGGCATATGCTTGGTTTCGCGCCTGGTCGTTATGGTTTCTTGGCTCAACATGGTTTCGTCCTACGTCTGCAGCGTTTTCTGGTCCGCATCCCTACGAACGCAATCTTCAGATCCTGGATACAAACCACCCTGGTTTGGTATGTTAACTCGAGAAACAAATACAGCACACTTCTCCTGGTACCGTTCTACGCAAAAGACTTTCGTTGGCAACTCGACGATCAACGATCGCTTTCTGTTTCGTCAATTCTTCCGTCCTACAACCTCACTTTTGCCGATCAGTCCCACGAACCAAACCGCTACCTATCGAAAGTGTAAACTCTTTAAGCAGGGGGCTCCTATAGTGACCTAATTTTGTCAACAGAACGAGATTGGTTCAATCAAAACAATTATTATTATAACCAATTGTACCAGTGATTGTTTCACCGTGCTCGTTTGTTCAACTGTACTAATGACAGCTATTTTGGCCTTCCATTGAACTCCATTACTTCTGCGCGGTTTGTGACTCGACACCACGCTACAGATTAAACACGATGCCCCCATAAACCCTATAGCATGATATTCATTTGAGGCTCATGTAGATATTCACCTTTCTAATGTTTCTCCAGATTTTGATGTCATCGGAGTTAATGAGTTCCTGTGGACCACTTTTACACAAAACACTGTCTATGAAAATCAGGAAAAACTGTTTCAGAATGCTTTTCCATGAGACTCCTGATGTGAAGTAATTTCAGTGCTATGCTCATTGCGCCCGCAACATCTGGTTTCTCATGCCATTTTGAAACTGAAAAAGAAGTGATTCAGTTTAATTTATCTTCAAAACATTTCTTGTGAAGAATATATTCGATATTGTTTTTATCGCTTTGACAAAGAGAAGGACTAAGGAAAGTGATTAGGAAATACAATCGTAATATCGGCTATCACACTTACAGGCGCAATTTCTTTAGCTGATAAGTTGGATAATGGCTAGCATTGGAATCCAGGACGCGAGTTTTGTCCTATTCGGGACTCTTAAGTTCGATGTACCTGCATCGCAAAATGAACATCAACGCTGAGATGCAGGTACATCCAGCTGACGGGTCCCAAATAGGACAAAATACGCGTCCTAGATTCCAATAATAACCACCATCCATATTTGCTTATAGATGAACCATTAGTTCATGCAAATACCACATAGCCACAGCTTAAATAGTAATCCAAATTTCTGCAATCCATTATATTTCTTCATCTCAGGTTCATCGAGTCTTTCCAACCGTGTATCGGATGTGGACTCTGTATGATCTAGAATGCAGTCACTAGTATTAGAATTCAAAACAGAAATTGAGACGGAATCATCTGGTGCCCGAAATGGTATTCGATCGATATGTCTTTTGTGTGCACACATATCATTGACGTCTAGAGTTCGAAACAATAGTTTTTCTAAAATTATCAACACAATCGTCATGACTGTTCGAGGTCGGCACCCCCCACCATCAAACCAAGTGACGACAGTGTTTGCGTCAAAATGAGAGCCACTATCAGCCATTAATACCACAGAAACCTCCTGTCAGTTTTGTGAAAAAAAATTCAGGTCACTTAGAAACAGAATCAATGACAATAAACGCATAGTATTTGTCAAATGTACACCACAATAGTCTGCATGAATTGCTCGCTAGGTCTCAGGAGGTACTGGCCATGGATTTCACCTCGTATGCTGTACGACATAAATCTGCATTTATCTCCGGCCACCAACATGTTAGCGCTGCCAATGACTTCATTTTATCAACATCTAAACGTCCACTATAAAGATCTTCAAGGATAGATTTACGCAATGATGGTGGAACAATAACTCTGTCAGGACCATGAATAATAAGATCATTTTGGTAAACTTAATCACTGACTGCATTATACATCACTTCCTGAAATATGGCTGGAGAACAACCTAAACCAAATAGAGGGAAGTTGGATAGGCCAAAACGAATGTTAATTTTCGTCAAGATAGATGAAGATTGACATAAAGGATTTTGGAGACAGGGTAATTCGCTCGCGGCACTTCCTCAGATATTCTTGTTCCATTTTCTCACACTTTCTCTTGCGAGCACGTAGCAAACGGTCAGCGATAGTTGTAAAAGTAATTACATACTGCAAAATAAGATGACAAGCTAGCAAATGAAGAGACATTCATGGACGATCATCGATGGCTGACGGAATTAGTCGCATTGATTGGAAGTTAAACTGTGGGCGAGTTGATGACCCCCTTGGGCTGTGGAAACAGAACTAAGGTGTTTTGATAGAAAAGGTAATCGAACCGACGTTCTTACGGAAGCGCATTCTAGGGGGGAAGATAATGCAACAGCTTAGGTTGATTGGTCAAGAGTTGACCTCAAACAACTAAGCATATATCAACACAGTAGAGTTCAAGTATTCATTCACCTTCTTATTTTGTATAGGCGTTATATTTCCCATTATTTTATATTGAATGCTGAGAGGCTTTTTTGTCTGAACAGGTAATCCCACGCTTTACTGTAACTGAGCGAAGATCTAAATAAAGACCTATTCTCTACTAGTCTGGTTTCTTTTGTCAATAGCACTAGGGTTACCTAAAGGCATGAAACACACAATTAGTCAGGATAGGTTTCTGTGAGTTTTTAAAAACAATAAAAACCACAAGGAGTGGTCCAGAATCAAATGTTTATTTAAAGCATTTTATCCCATGTTTGAATACATAGAAAAAGTACAACAGCAGCTATTTACAAATCCCTACATATCCCAAGACATCCAAAAAAACGAAAGATAAAGTTACACAGATACAATCACTGAATGAAAGAATTAATTGAAAGACGTAGAGCACTCAAAATACAAACGCACACAAATAACCACTTAAAAAATGGATGGCGAGAAAAGTCTACACGAATGACTAGTGGAAAAATCTCCAAATACCCCAAAATAAGATCAGTGTAACAGCCACCAACACCCAGAATAATATTTTATCCTGATGACTTCGCCGTTCAATAAGACGCATAACAGTGTTTGATAAACCAAGAGTATTCAGAACATCCATGATACGGCGTTGTGCCTTCTTTAAAGTCATTCTAAAGAGTAAAAAATATAAATTTACAAGTAAACACAAAGTCCGGTACAAATATGATAAAATAAAAAGAACATGTTTTCTAAAAAGTTGTCGCATTACTGTACTTTGTCATTTATGTCAGCAGTTGGATGTACCGGATTTTTAGGGAGACAACTGATAAGACATTCACTACGAACTATCTTCAGAAAACGAACAGGTTCTTACGGACTATCTTAAGAACAAAAGCTCTAAAATTGAACGTAGTCAACACCATAAATTTCAGAAGACTGATCCTTTTCCATTAAAACTATATGACTTATTTTACAAAGCCTCTGATCGAGTAAACAACAAGTAGCTAAATCATAGACTGGACCCAAACAATAACTAGTGGTGATAAAGATTTTAGCACATACTTTCACTAGTAGGTTTAATTACAAATTAACATGAAGTAATCATATGAAACAAGTAATCACTAGAATTGTGTGAAAACGTTCAACAAAGTTCCTTAACGACAAAACAACTATTGCATCAAGTTCGAAAAATAAAGACATTTTCATTTCAGTGAACACACACATATATATCCTGGATATTAATAGGCTGAACTTGGTTCAATGAAAACGATCTGATGACAACAGGTGGAAAGAATCTTAATTCATTCATTTGCTAACTGAAAGACTTTCGTTTCGCAAACTACCACAGTCAAAACTAAATCAAAGTAAGGGGGTATATTTAGGTTAGCACTGATTATAATTGTTAACTATTCTATCTTCACATTCACAGCCATAAAATAATGGTATTAATTACATCATCTGACAGCAACCGGTCCGATTCCAAACCTGACAGTAGTGACTGAAAAATACGCTGAAAACGAAAAGCTAAATGACATTAGTGCTAAATAGAAGTAAACTCAGTTTTAGATGTTTAGAAAGAATCTAAAGAAAAGAGCTCTTGAATCCAAAACCGACTAATATTCGGAAGTATACGACTCAGTCTACATTTGATTTTCTGTTATTAGGGCTTGGGGACTGTGGAGTTACTTAAACTACGAATACACGTCAAACTTGATAAGACAAGTGAACAAAACTTCGAAAATTTATATCGTATCATGAGATCCATAAAAACTTACCCTTGTTCTTGTAAAGCACTTAAACTAAATGACCCTGATATCAAAATATCGTCAATTTGCTTTCCAACATTAGATAATCTTGAATAATGTTCTAAATCAGGATCTAATCTGATAATAGTTGAGCCAGACAAACCGTTATTATTGCGTACAGATGCATTGGTTGAAAAATCATGAGATAATAACTCTTCACGTTCTACTACGTGTCGCCATTTTTCATTCCTAAAAAAGATATAACATTATTTACAAACAGGGATTAGAAATTTAACAACCACCAATTACTGGAAACATAAATTCAGTGAAAAACAACAATGAAATCTTGTACTTACTTTTTTCGATCGATAGCCCTTAGATTAGTTTCATACTGTTTACATTCAAAACGTGTTTGATCCAAACTTAAACGTAACTGAGAACGACGTGAATATGGCTCAACAGTTGAAAGTAAAGTTGACAGACGATCACAGTTTGAATTAATCTAAACAACCAATAATAATGAATAAAGTATTTTTGAAATTTATCGACCGATTCGAATACAGTATCAACAAGAAAAAAGATCACGTAAATATGAAATGGTTAAGTTATAACTAACACATAATAGCACCAAGAGTAAGTGTTTGTAACAAATCTGGTATCTTACTCTACCAACTTATATTTTCGATTGTCAGATTACCTGAATTACACGTTAGTAAAATTTTAACTGAAATTGGTGCAGTTTATGAAGAAACTAGTACTCATTGACTAAGTATAGATTCATATAATGAGTCATACTCTTATTGTAAAGGTTAGTGACACAATCCAATTGCAGAAGCGGTAGTAGGAAAAACGACGTTTGAACTTGCAACTGAGTGGAATACAGTTGAACGCTACCACCACTCAAGCAATCGGAGAAATAATAATCAACAAGAATCAGGTTATAAGATTAAAATAATTGAAATAAACAGACAAACAATGAATGACAGCACAAATATTGGCAAGAATTAGTCAGATACTGTCAACAGAATAACCAATTGTTAGTCACCTACAAAGGAATTCTAATAGTTAACTACCTTCCAAAGCTTTTACTGACGGTGTTACCCGGGAAGACTAATGAAAGCTTCACCAGGGTATTAAAAACCATCAAAATAACAGAAGGATGTAAATAAGTAAATTAATTATAAATATGGAGTAAGATTGGATGGACCTTGCATTCCCATAGGAAAAAAACATACAAACAAGTAACCAAAATATAAATCTATAATTATAAGCAAACTAGTTTATATAGTTTCTGAGAATTGATGTTGGGCAACCACCGAAAACAAAGGAGCGCTAAACAGATATTCCACCTTTTCAATAGTCGACGGTCCTGTCAGAGTCAAATAATGCCTAATGCTTCCTGGTTTGTAATACGATACGTTTTTTATGCGAACCCTTGGTACCAACTCCCTAGTCCCTTCCCAGATTTCTTAAATACTCCTAGACGGTAAAGAAAAGGCACAAAGTAAAAAGGGAAGCTTTATATCAAGGTTCCTTTATGTCCAGAAAGCAATAGTATTTCTGGGTTCATTGAAAATTGTCAACTTTTGGAAACATCCTAAATTAAGCAACAGGGTAAGTAATCATCTAATCAGAGTTTGAAACATAATTCGTTAATCACCTAGAAGTTTTTGTACCGTAAGCTAATTGAATGGAATGCTCTCAGCTTTTGTGACATAAGTCTATTAAAAACAACAATTTTCAGTCTTTTCTTATTTTCTGAATACTTTATCGGGGAATTTTTGTGTGATTCCAAAGAAAGATTTATATAACTAGGGTCTATATATCACGCAAATTATGAAATTCAACAATCCCCACAAAGCACCTATGCTGAAACAACTTTAAATATATTATAAAATGAATTGAGTAATAAGTCAAATAAAAAAAGTAAAACTATTATAATCAAAATAAATTTAGATAAGGCAGGAGTGGCATACTAATAATAAATAATATCAACTATTTATTAAAACGTCTCATACTATATTGAACCTTGTGAAATAAATAAAAGATATTGAAAATAGTATGGATGCTAAGTTACTCTTATGGGAACTTCCTTTGAATACCGTAGTTACATAAATATGTAAATTGACATTTCTTCACATAGTAGAAAAAGGATCATATAATGAACAATAATTAGTCATCTTCAGTAATTCATTATGTCCAGAATAAATCTGTAGAAATCGATTCAATTTTGAATATTTACTTATGTATTAAAAAGTAAGTTAAGCACCTGTTGAACAAATCAGTCGTTAATTATACGTTTCATGGGTGACATTTAATGTTGACTTAATACATAAATAAAGATCATATCTATCACCCCTTTATGTGTTTTATTTCAATTTATCAGATTCACAATAAAGTTATGTAGTTAAGCGATTTGTACGTTTGAAAGATGATGTAGGACTTGTATTGCAACTATATTACAGATGAGTAACTAGTTTTTGTATTAGATTAGTTAGTCGGAAGCTATTTCTTACTGATTGGTACATTTTTACCTGTCCAACTATATCGAACTAACTGATTTTATGCTTATCTACGCTTATAATTAACTGCTGATTTACATCATGCAGTAACAACGTTTGGATCAAGAATGGATTAGAACAAATTTAGTTCCGGTTGAAGACTGCGAAGCGATAATGTGGATTGGAAGTGACCTATAGTCAACACTATACTATTTATTTACTGAGTCAAAATCCAATAATCATTTCTAAATCCAGTCGATTTGTGGTGTGGCACGATCTTCATTCAAGTTTACTTTATAACAAAAAAACTACAGGACAAATCGTTGCATCAATAAACAATAAACAACATATCACTATATACAAAAAATCAACAAACATTTTGTATATCTTGTTTTAAGCTATAATACAATTTATTTATTTCATCCAGTTCCAAACTTGATTTTAAACTATGTATCATACTTTCTAATTGACCAATACTTTCCGAGACTGTATGAAGAAGACATTTTGTTTGAGTAGAGAGTTTATCGTAATCCATGACGATCCTATAATCGAAGATTTTTTTAAAAAGTATGACAAAAAAAACAATCAAGATGACTATTCAACCATTATAAGCAAATATTTGATAAAAAGAAAGACTACTGAAATAACTTGTCGAAAATAATTGAATCTAACAAGATAGTGAACGTCCACTAATCAAAGATAAGCTTTATGCTAAGAACACTATGTCTCGTAATCAATTGAACTACAATCTGGGTACATTATTGACTGGATATGAAAACGATGGCGTACAACGTAATTTATATATCCGTTGAATGTCATATAGGACTTGATAATAAATGCAAACAAGCACAAAACTTCTGTACAGTTCAAGTATATTTTTATCTCACTGTCAAAGTGGACACTTCGATTATATCGAATATAGAGACGATTTGGTGATATTTGTACCAATAGTGCAAACTAAATAAGCTAACGAAACAATTACATCATGCAGTCTATGAAATTAACACAACGAAAGGTTGGATTCCAAACCTTGTATCCAGTGTACATAATAAATTAACGGCCCTTGCACTGACTTATTTCGCTATTGACGGGGTAGTAACCTTCATACATTGTTCGGAAAGAATTCACTATCTCAGTATTCTGTTTACTTACAAGGACTGTTGCCACTAAGATCATGAATAGGCTCTTCAAGATTATCTACTGAATATCCAATAGACCCCATAAGCCGTAACAACAGATGGAAATGATGCACCATAATTTTGGACAGAAACTACTTCATTTATTGTTCCTGGGAGTTATCCATCAAAATGCGTTGAAACTGATGGATCGCCTGACATTCGCGTTTTCTCATGGTTGTGGTTACCAGCTAATCACACAATTCTTTAATAGATGCGTCAATCACTTCAAGTGGTCTTGTCATCCCTCATCTATCACAAATTATCCCATTTCACCATGTCAGACTAATTGAATCCTTGGTTTTCTCGCAATTCCCCCCCCCAATTTACTGGATTACTATCACTTCAGCATTGTCTTGCTTTCTTTCCCAGTGCAACCTGCTTTATGTCTACATCAGATTCGTATACAATCTTATGGTAGGGCCAAATCAAGCTGGTCGAAACAGTTACATGTAACGCTTGATGGGAATATTTTAGTGTTATCATCAAAGAGTAACATACAGCACGACTGGCCTCGATACCCAAAACGTATTTTTCAGAGCCTGAATATTAAGGATAGCACGCTTTGTGATGGTCTTGTATTTATAAAAGTTCGGCGATTGTAACACAACTGGAGTTGTACCGATTAACGATGTACAGGTGGCTTCGGACAGGATGAAAGCATACAGCAGATCTTACAACATTATGCGGTGGAAGTTAGTAGTTTTGACTTTTGGCGATTAAGTTTAAGGTTCAAACCCCTCTCCACCTACTTTAGTATGGGGATTCGAATAGTAACATTAGACCCTACACTTTGAGTAAGGCTCATGGCCAAGTACCTAGTGAATGGTATAATTTTAATCTATAAATAACACTTCGTACCGAAATATGTTGGCCAACGCTTCTGACGTAACCTGATTACATCTAAACTACGTAAGGAATAGGTGCGAAAAGATTTCTGTTCAACATATCAATATGCTGTTTTACTAGAATAAAAAATGGGGTATTTATTTATAAACTGCTCAAGCCAGTCATAATAGCAAATACACTATTGTTCATTAAATTTGCTCTGAAATCGTTAGAAGCTTGTAATTTATGTTTACAACTTATATTAAACAAACTTGGAAAATATTCATGTAGACAGATTAGTATATTTTCACATTCAACAAACAACAATCAAGCCAATGTAATAAAAGCAAAAACAGTCGAAAGTTCTCTCTTTTTATTGAAATACATATTAAATCAATATTACTAAAAGAGGAAACAGGTTGACTTTAATCTTCTTAAATTTTTTACGAATTGATATACAAGTCTATCGATCCACTTCTCCAAATACAATATCCAAAGTACCTAAACCATTGCAGTTATTAAATGGAAGCACAAAAAAGTAAGTAAATAATTAAACACTGTAAGTTAATTATCAATGAATTTAAATGTTGAAGTTTATATTTCATTAATTTTTCTTTGGAAATCATATCACTTATCAAATTCACACAAATTTATATGGCACATTATTTTGTAAATCCACAGTTATGAAAATTCCAATTCCCTTTTTACAAATACTTCAATTCAATAGAATTCTATTTACTCATTTCCTCCATGCATATATATATATATATATATATATATTGTATTCTAAAAATTCCATATTGTACTAAACATACAGTATTGAATAGTCATTAATATCATTAATATTATTGTTGTAACTGGATGGGTATTGAAAAAAATCGAACATTCGGAACTGTCCTATCTGAAGGAAACTTTTAGAATTTTGTTTAATTATCAAATAATTAATTTGGACTCAAGGTAGAGGAAAGAGAAAGGCCAAAGTATAGCGAACCAAAACGAGCTCGATTGACATCGGCTTAAGGTAAACGGTGTAGGTCAGAAATGTAATTTGTTAGATTATGGATGCTAAGATACAAAGGAAGAGGCATGAGATAAAAAAAAACTGCGGATGGGATTCCGAATGACGAATTCAAAACTTGATACCGGTCAGCGATGTCAAGTCATTATTATTATTATTATTATTATTATTATTATTATTATGCGTCGAATATACGCTAACTGTTATATGCCAACAAGAATTATGAATGGTAACGTTTGAGAACTATTTATGGACCAATACGATACATATATTTTCATTGTATAATTGTTGAGTATCTAAATTATGCATATTCATGTTCCTCTTATTATAAGCTTTATTCTAACCCACAGACTATTATTATGCGATTTACCGTTCTTGAGTTCTGCCGAGTCTATTAATTACAGTCTCCCATATTCACAACCACTTTTGGTTAGATCTTGTACAAACGCTATTTTCCATTTTATGGTACGATGTGGCTTGTTTGGTTTGTATATAAACCTAGTATGTTTGAAATATATGATTCATATCGCAGAAGCTGAGGTTGTTGTTCTGGACTCAACAGGTAGATCCAGGGAGGAAGAAGGACCGATAAGGATTATAGACTGCTCGTACGGGTTTAAGCGTCATTGGTCCAGGAGATAAGTTACTGTTCTCTAATTGGTAGTATAATTGCGTCATATATTAATAGGGCACAGGGCCACAAGTTATGACACTAACCATAAACTTTATAGATTTTAAACAAGATGAGATACCTACTAACAATATATCATAAACAGTGAACATTGAAATATCAATAAAATGAAGGGATTTCATAAATATGTATTTCATCTATACAAAAGGCAATCCTTTTGTACAAACAAGCCAAAAATATTCAAGGCTGTATATTAGAAATGAAATCAATATACTGAGATAAAAGAGAATATTTTTGGTTCAGGATGAGAATGTTGATAGTGTTGTGAGTACTAAACCATCCAGCTCACAAAATACAACACATTCAAAATCATCATGTGTACACTACGGAACGAACCAAGATAACCCATGGAATATGTTTAAACTGAACATAACACACTTCGAACTAATGACTTCAGTAAGTGAACGTAGTTACAGACTGTTAGGACGAGAGTTGATCACAAATAATGCCGATGGGAAATAAGCAAAGTAATGATACCAATACATTTTGTTTTCTTCGGGAGATTTGTTTTATAAGTCAATTATTTGTTACACTTGCTAATACATATATTCTTTTGATAGGAAAAAATGATCATTGGAACCAGTAGTACATAGCTGAGACACGCACGTGAACACCGAAACCATTAAATTTATTGATTCAACTCACACCAATAAAATTAAAATGATCATAGAGTTTACCACTAAAAGGGTAGAATTTATACTGTTGTACAGATATTTATAGGAAAGAAATGTACAGAGTTAGATTTAACTATTGTGTTCAATTCTAAACGTCAATATCATTATCTGACGCTTCTTGGCGTCATTTATTGTATTTAATTCAATATATTACTTAAATATGATTAAGTAGTCCAAGCTATTTAGAAAAGAATGGCTTTTGATTAACTGATCGCTAATTTAGCTTAGACAAAATTGATTGGTAAAAGTAATGACTAGTTTCTGATACGAAACGGTCGGAAACAAAGAACAATTAAATCTTAAAGAATGATTTTCTGAGATCAAAGGATCACAAGAGTCGGATGACAAGCTATTCATCAGAGATAAATTATGGTCCGTATTGACGTTATTGCAAGTTTCTGTTAAATCTTATTTAAATAAATATTACGGCAGATAGAATTATAACACGAGCTCCATTAAATACATCTATTATTCATCCCGTCCTCTATCTTTTAATATTGAAATGGTTATTTCGTTTTGTTTCCCTTTTTCATAATTTTAATTTTATACTTCGCATGGTATAATTTCTTAGTAAACATCCACTATATACACAGTTCTAGATTTCCTAAGTGTATGCCGAATGCTTCAGTAATGCAAAGAGGATTTAAGCTCACTGTTGTTGACAGGTTTTTGTTCACCTTGTTAATGACTTCCAATTTTGAGTCTGTTTGCTTAAACGACCTGTGATAGAAATAACTCATCAAAAATGGATATCTACATACAACGTTCAAACTTCAAAAAGTATAAATAACCTCCGTATCAGAGAAAATGCTTTACATGAGCATCTATGTTAAAGGTGAAAAAAGTGCGAATATCATGAACAGAAGGACCTTAACTCCCTAAAAATAATGTTCTTACAAGTAAGAGGATTTAGAAATATTATCCGGGATGGTTCGAATGAAAAATACAAATTCCATAGGAAACTTCATAATTAAACACCTTGTGAACATGGATCAATTCAACCAAAACAAACTGAGTTCAAAATCATTTAGAGGATAAACGGAAACTCATCCTTTGAAAAATGTTTATTTTAATCACACATTAAAATTCTAAAACATTAAATATAAAATATTCATAAAAATTATTATCAATATCAACATTAAACACAAT